TAGGGCCAGTTGTTAAAATACTGAAATACTTTCTAGCTCTCGGCAGATGGCTGCTGCTCCGTGTCCCCTACATGTCCTCGCTGGCCCTTGTCTCTCTCCCCACTTCTCCCACCTCCAGCAGCTGCCGGCTTAAGGCCTGGTGGGCGGCAGCATTCGCCAGCCCCACCACAGCCTCGCCCTGTGGGTTGCCAGAGTGCCCGCCATGCCCACACCTGGGAGGTTGAAGGTGGGCCCAGCCCACTAGCCAGTCCCTGAAATAGCAGCCATAGGAATAAGAAAAATAAAAAATCATTTTAAGTACATATTTAAAATGCTTAGGCTGATGCTTTTTCCATTGATTTGTAACTTCTGATCTAAGCATTGTTTTTGCTGTACATCTTTTGAAACAGATTCCCTAACTTCCTTTCCAAATTACCTTCATGGTCTTCATTTTAAAAACCCAGTCCTAGTAATTTTGAAAACTACCAATTGAATATATCATCAGTCATTGTACTTAATAAGGTCTTTTATGCAAAATATTAACCCAAAACACTTTTGGTTTCTAAAACTGCTTGTTTAAAATATGCAGCTGAATATAAGTGCTGGTATTTCTACTACTACAACATAAAGAGGGGATTTACTTTAGTGACAAGCACAAAGCTGATAAATAGGTCAGTTTCTTTTTATTGTCAAGTGATACGTGGCAGAGGACGAAATTTCACTCTTATAACGGACAAAGTCATCTCTAACCTGCAGTATGTATCTTTATTAAGTACCATGTATTTATTTCACATGCATGATTTATTTTATAAAATACAAAAGTTTCACGTGGAATACAAATAAAGAACACGTATTAGAGAACGGTGCTCAACGTAAGAGATCAACGGTGAAAATAGGAGCACTTTGTTAATTATTGTCTTCATCTTGGTTTTCATTAAAGCTAGTGGCTGTGCTTTTGTATAATGACACCCCCCTAATGCTGACAAACTAAAATTTGTTCTCCTCCTTTCTCAAGAAATGTTATGATCATGCCTTACAGAAATTTGCTAAGAGCTGCATGTTGTTGAAAGTGATTTCTTGGGTTTTTGTTTCTCCTGACTTATTTTCCTAGACTGATCCCGTTGAGAACACACATGCACGGAATCCGAACGTCAAGTTTTCCGTCCCCTCGAGGCCCACATCTCCTCCCACAGCTAGTGAAGCTGAGCCAGTTCAGGTGCCTCGCCGGAGCAGCACTGCTCCCCGCCTCACTGTGTCAGGGAGGAGGGACTTGCAAAAACAAGGGAACTCTGACTCTCTCCTTTTAATCAAATATATCGTGTAGTAAGTCACAGTATATTGGGATCATTACACTGGACTGCTAATGTAGACAGGCGTATAAAAGTAAAATAGAAAATTGTCCCCCAAAATTCACCTTGAAATAGAAGAATTATTTAATCACAAAGGGGGTCTTTATTTTAAGGGGAGAGCAACGTAGAACAGGATTGTGTGAATTTGGAGCCATCGGACACACACGGGAGGCACACGGCGGTGTCCGGTGCCGTTCTCACGTTTTATTCTAATAAATCGAATAAGACATGATGCAACTGCTGCTTCATAAATAGAGCTTAAAATAAAAGTTGCCTCTGCTGGCAACTGAGTAGTTTATTCTAACTGCGCAGTTAGTAATAGGCATTCAGCTAAATCATGCCTTTTAATAGTGCAAAATCTGTTGTATTTGTGCCTCATGTCAGTCGGTGGTTTTAAACAGCCAGTTGGTCAGTTTTGTCAAGGCCGCTTCTCAGCAAGTCAGAAGGACGGGCTGCACCTCGGCTAACGCCGTCCCGCGGGGTGCAGCCCCGGCTCCTCACTCAGCGTTGCGGTTCTGACGTGGCTCCTCGCCTCGCTTTCCGCCTCCGGAGCTGTGTCTGGCATTGCAACAGAGCGCCGTCCGGAGTGTGCCTTGTACCAGATTCTGACTTGGCTTTTCCCAGCCCTGCGACAGACCACCTCACACGGGGTGATGAGACCCTCTGCTTTCCTGATTCTTTATTGCTTTAGTATCTTAACTTTATACGTTTGTATTTTAATGTTGAAATATTTCCATCACACAGAGAATAATAATCAACACCCATGTAACCACCATCCACAGATTTAACAGATATGAGCATATCCTATTTTTTTCAAAGTTACATTAAAAAAAATAGTTCAGGCAATTCCACTGAAACACCCGTCCCTATGCCATCCCCTGTCTCTTCCCCCAGACATATCGAAACACCCCGAAACTGAATTACATCCTCTCGTCCTTGGCTTCCCATGTTTATTTCATGTGTATCCATAAACAATACATAATGTTTGTTGTGTATATTAAATTTCACACAAAGGTTCTCTTTATTTTTTTGAAACTTTTTTCATTCAGCATGCTTTCGAGGTTTACTCATACAGATACGTGTCCATTTAGTGCATTCATCATAACTACTGCAAATTTTATTGTATGACTATACCACAACTCTTTCTCCATTCTCCTATTGTCGGATGTATAGGTTGTTTCCAGTTTTTTGTTACAACAACCTGTGCTGAAGTGAACATCCTAATAGCTCTCTGCTTTTGCAAATGTGCATTTGTTTAGCATATGTACCTGGAAGTGGAATGGCTGGGGTGTGTGCTGTGTGCCTTTGCAGCTTTAACTAGGACTGGCCAAACTACACTCCGCTGTGGCTGTGCCAGTTTTCACTCCCGCCAGCAGTGTGTGTGAGTTCCCTGTCTTCCCACGTCCCCGCCAACCCCGCTGCTGTCAGATATTTACTGTCGCCAATTTGTTGGGTATGGAGTGGCATTTTTGTTTTAATTTGCATTTTCTGATTTCAAGTGTTATTGAGCATCTTTTTATATGTTTGTTGGCCATTGGTGATTTGCCTGTTCATGCTTTTGTCTGTTGTTCTATTGAATTATTTTTCCTATTATTCTGTAAGTATTCTTTATATATTCTGGATATTAATCTTTAGCTTGCTATATGCATTGCAGATATTTTCTTCTGGTCTGTGGCTTATTTTTAAATGTTATCTGTGGTATCTTTTTGTCTTGCAACTGTTTCTACAGTACTTTAAAGTACCCGCACTTATCAATTCTTTTTCTTTGTCTTCTTTTTAAAACATTTCTTCTTTTCACAGCAATTACAAAGATTTTTCTTTGTAATTTGTTCTAAATGTTAAAATGATTTCATATTTCAGACTTCAAACTGAAATTTATTTTTACATATTATGAAAAATGAAGTTCTAATCTGTTCTTCTCATCTGAACAAACAACTCTCCTACAGTCGCCCATTGCCTTGTACAGCCACCTCTGCTTTATATAAATGGGGGTGCTGGGCGTGCTCTCTTCTCTTGTTCTTTTTTTCTGTTTCTGCAGCAACGTCACATTGTCTTAATTACTAGAGCCCTAAAATGATTCCCGACACCTCTGAGCAGCCACACCCACCCACTCCCTCCATCTTATTCTTCTTCCTTTTCTGTTTGACCCTTCAGTTTTACATGTGACATTTAGGATCAGCTTGTCAGATGCCATGTGGGGCTTTTGGTTGGGTTTGAATTTATAGATTTATCTAAGGAGAATTGACGTGTTTGAGATACTGGATCTTTCCATCTATGAACATGGTGTACGATGACCATGGAATATTTAGATATTCTTTTATTCCCTTTAATAAAATTGTATTATTTTCTTCAAGGGTATACGCCATATTGTTTGTTGGTTTGTTCCTAGGAACCTTCAAGCCTTCGTGGCTGTGGTGACTGGGATCTTTTCTAAACTGTATTTTGTGAGTTAGGCACTGCTAGTCTTTCGAGGCTCTCTTGATCTTGTGTCCAGCACCCTTGCTTCACTCCTTTCAATTCTAAAAACTTCTCTTGGACTTTTAATGTAAATTCTAATGACAATTTTGTTCCATAGGGTTTTCTCTTAACTTTTACAAAGGTTTTTGTGTTCTTCCTTTTCATATTTATTTTTTAATGTTAAATTATAAATGGGATTCAAAACTTTTTGAAGCTAAATTTAAATTAGAATGAAATTCACAATTAAGCAGAAAACTCTTGAGAAACGCAACTGAATTCCACTTTAAAATATTTTATAGATATATATATATATATATATATATATATATATATATACAGCTTTAATCTTAGAGGTTATATTTGAAGAAAAGCAAACGGAGTCCATCTATTTTTTTTCTCTTAATGTTTTAGAATATTCTGTACCTTTATAGAAAGCTAGCTTTTTCCTCTTGCTTGCTTGCTTTTAGCATCCTAATAGGAAGTCATTCTTCATGTCTTTTTTTACATTTTGCTAATCAAGTGATATCTCTTTTTTTCCACGGTAACATCCAGTAAAATCATTGTTTTCTTTTATTCAAAGAAATATCTTACAATAATTCCCCATAAAATAAAGACATGGCTTGTAGCTAAATTTGTTTAAATTCTGATCTCAATAATAATAATCTAGCTTCCTTCTTTGGAAATTAATTTCTGCACAATGTCCCACTAATCAATTAATCAATCATTCTCTATATATACACATACACAAAAATCCACAGACTTGTGTTCCAGATATGTAATATGCATTCTGTGTACAGAAGTCAAGGAGTTAAAACAGTCTTCTAAATATTTTGATTATAAATCTTGCTAAAAACTCTTCCAGATGCTTTTTAGAAGTCATGTGGCATTTTCAGATGAATTTGAAAATATCCTTATTTTTGTGTAGGCTACATGCTATGACATTTTTTGTGTTCTTCTGAGGATTCTCTTTGCCAAATTTTTTTATTTTTATACCCCCAGACTGAACTAATTTTTACTAATTGAACAAACATTTCACTTGTAGATATTGCAGGCAAAAATGTAAACTATCAACACTATGAGAACTGTAGCTTCATTGAGATATGTTTTGCCTTTTTGACGCTTTCTTTGGCTTTATTTACCTTGATTCGTTTCTGCTGATGTTTGAAGTGAATGGAGTTTTTCATAACGCTTATTTCTTTTTTGCCCTGGATTCAGACTGTAGATAGTGCTCCACTTCCAGTTCACACACCAACCTTAAAGAAAAAGGCATGCCCTGGCTCTGCTGGCGTTCCACCTAAGGTACTTGATCAAGTTGTATGGCATGGTGTGTTCTGAAGCAAAAATGAGAATGGGTTTCTTCTGCTTTTTATTTCCTGTGATTTTTTTTTTTTTAACTATTGGTTTCCTTAAAATTATAAACATGAAAGCTGGGAAAGAAAATAAATTCTGTATGAAGGAACATAATCACCACTGGAAAGGTAGGGGGAATGGCCAAAGTTTGTTTTGTTTTGTTTTTCTTCCATCTTCTTAAATTCAGTGTTTTGAAGTCTGTTACAATGAGGAGTGGTGCTTTGAGGCTATATTGCAAGGAAGGTATTAAGTTGAGGCCACTTGTGGAAGAATCTAAGATTGAGGCTAATTAACCACCGAAAAAAGATAAATATTTAGTGAAAAATTCAGGTGAATTTTCTTCTTTTCCTTCTATGCAATGTGACTATGACTGAAGTGTTGTATGTGATGGAAAAGTAAGATGTAGTTGCTTATCTCGAGCTCCTACAAAGAAATTCTAGAAATTGGAAAACTGAAATGATCATCCTCTCCAGGCCGTAAACCTGGGACAAACCACAGAACGAGAAAGAGAGGTCGATGGGTCTGAAAAACTAATGAAATATACGAAAGTATACCTGGTATAAGAGAAGGCAACACACTGAATGACTTATGCTAGATAAAGCAAAAATTTGAGATTAGATAGAACATGAGTTTAAAATAAGCATGATACATGTCCTCAGAGAGCTATGAAAGGAAGTATGTTTGTAATGTGGGGCAGGAGCATAGGAAGAAAAATAATTTGTAAGTGCTTGACATGAAAATACGACACCTGAAATAAAGAACTCAGTAAAAGGCTCTCTGACAGCAAATGAGCAAACTAGAAATAACAGGAAAACGGGTTAAAGAGATAGAAAATATAAAAGTTAAGCTAGAAGATATGGAAGTTAAGCCCTATGGCAGAAATAGTATCAATGCCTATGTAGCAGGACTGGATATGGAAACATACTAAATTTCTTTATTTCTATAGGTATGAATATGCAAGATTTTACTTAATTCTGCTAATGAGTAATTTGAAGAATTGATAAAAATTCTAAAATCAAAATTTTTGAGCATAGAACAAGTTTATTTTATAATGTTTCAAGTGTCAATTCAAGAGCAATTGATGATTACTTCTTATTTTATTTTAGCATAATCCAGCTCAGTATTGCCTAATAAAAATATTTGAAGAGCATGGATTATAGAAATCCATGGCGAGAAAAGCAATTCTTTCTACGCCTGTTTAGAAATGTTCTAGTAGCTGGTATGGGCACAGAGATTCACAACATGAAAATCCTTTCAACAGTCAATGTACATGTTTTTATCCATTTGTTTTGCAGCGCAAGACTCATCAGTTTTTTGTCAAATCTTTCACGGCTCCTACCAAATGTCACCAGTGCACCTCTTTGATGGTGGGCTTGATAAGACAGGGCTGTTCCTGCGAAGGTAAGAACCAAATGGTAAGGAAATGAGACTCTAGAGCCCTAACATCTACTACCTAAATTATAATCAAATAACTTTGTGAGATATATAAATGTTTGTTTTACTTCATCATTTGCTTTTCTTTGGATAACAGGAATAGAGACAATAAAATGAGCACCTTGATAACATCTCTTGACTATTGAAGAAACTAGACAGATAATCCCCAGAAACTTTTTTGCAAGGGAGATATATGTAAATATATTTTATTCATATATTTAAAGATATTTTATTATTCAGATGATTTTGTGGTTTCAGAAAACTATAACCTATGTGACAAAAGACATGAAAGTTATCCTTGAATCTATTCATTTAATTTTAACCTTGTTTAATTTATCAGAGAAATTGTTACCGGAATGCAGGCAGTGCCATATCTGTTACTATGCCTCAAAAGACACTGTATTCCTTGCATTCATAGTAGCGGTTTTTCCTACCAAGCCATCGACAGCCGCTCTGTGCTTCTCAGCACCAAAGCCGCAGTGGTGGGCCGTGGGGCAGGATAAAGAGGGAATAAGGGGGAAATTAATAGCGTCCAAGGCAGCGCTTTCTGCGTTTAGTTAGTTCTCCCAACAAGTGACACACCCCAATTGCAGTATCATAACTGGTTTGTCAGATGCCTGGATTTCAAGCAAAAGAAGATGGTAGGTTGGAAAGTGGAGATGGCAGTTTTGAGTGACAGGCGTGATGAATATGAGAGACACTATCCAGGAGGTTCAGGTGGAAACAGGTACTGATAAAGTGATCTAAGAAGAAATAGCCTGTGTCATTGACCAGAAGGGTGTTTCTGAAGCTAAAGGAGGAGGGAATTTGTACAGTTTCTAGGTCTTGCCTCATTTAGGAGCTTACCCAGCACAGTTGACCCTTGAACAACACAGAGGTTAGGGGCACCAACGAGCCCCTTGCACAGTCGAAAATTCAAGTGTAACCTAACTACTAAGAGCCTACGGTTGACCTGAAGCCTTACTGATAACAGGAACAGCCAACAAACACATAATTTTGTATGTTATATGTATTACATACTATACTCTTACAATAAACCAAGCTAGAGAGCAGAAAATGCTGTTAAGAGAATCAGGTGGAGAAGAGACTAGGTTTACAGTATTTATTGGAAAAAATCTGCATATAAGTGACCCCAAGCAGTTCAAACCCATTTTGTTCAAGGGTCAAGTATAGTCATAAATGTCATTTTAAAATGTTTATCAGAAAGAATCCTGGGCAGCTACTTGGCTTTAGGTTCCGTATCATTTTTTATGCATCAGAATCATTTGTGACTTCATTATAGGACTGTCTGAGATCATCTCGACTCTCCCATTCTACAGTCTCGTGCCACGAGATTGAGTCTGCTTTCTCTTCCTATTTACAAAGTGGTGGGGACACGTGAGACTATGCCTGCGCGTCCATAACTGTAATGATAGCGTGCTCACAGCCTCTGAAGAGTCCTTTCATTTTTACTTCTTCCTGGTTGTTTGAAATTAGATCTGTTATAGGATAATTATTTTGTTGCTTCCACTGCCCTTTACGGATGAGATTTCGGCTCACTGAAGCAAATTACAACTTGTTAGGCACTTCACTTATACGTGAATTCGATGTCTTACAGAAGGTTGGGTAGTTTTTGACAGTCAGTTCTAGGCATATTGCTCTCTGTTGGTTCCATAACATCCATGTGTGATATACAATCCATTTTACCATGTGTATGTATTCCCACGGTGATACTCTTTCAGTTCTTCAGTTCCTCTCCTTCTTTCCCAGATACTGTCCAGGGTCCCACGTAGAGTAGGAATCATCTAATAGATATTCTTGGTCTCTAAGCCCTCCCAACAAGCTTGTCTTATATATCTTAACCTTAATTCTCACCCAGCCAAGTCTCAATGAAGTTTATGAGTTTGCTTTTATTTTATCACTTTGTCTTAGAGTCTCAAGTTCACCACATGAGCACCAAGAGGCGCCCTGGCATTACTGTCAGTGGTTAGCCGGGCCGGGTCTGGGCCCGACTCCCGGGCCTTGAGCCGCAGCAGTGGCTCTCGCAGGTTCCGCGGCCCAGGGCAAGTCGTATGTAAGCGGAGGGCGTTGGATGTTTCTTAGGTTGTTAGAGAAACATTAAAGCACTCTATGAAGTTAACTATTACTATTATCTTAGTAGTGATTTAAGTATATATAGTAATAACAATGACTCCCCAAATTTACCCTTAGTTTATTCCTTTTTAGCGATTGAACAATTCTATTTTCAAAAAGAGGAATGGGTAAAGTTTACCAGGTATTGCAAAGCTGTCAGAAAATACAGATAATATAATGTCCACTAGTGACTCTTGCAAGAGAAATGTATATGATACGTATATGCCTCTTGCAGGGCATATACGAAGTTGCAGTAGACGAAGAGTTAGAGAGAGAACTCCAGAAACTACTCTTTTAGGAATTCAAAGTTTAAATCAGCCATTTTATTCACAAGATTAGACTTATTTCCTTCTATTCTCATTTTCATCACTGATGTTAACACAGAGCAATAATATTACAATAATAAAAAACATTTACTGTTTCTCTTTGAAATTCTTTTTGTTAAGCAAATGAATCAGCTCTCCAAGTGACAAAATAGTTTTTTAAAATAAATCAGAGAGAAGCATTCATTACCTTCCATGCAGTGAATATTCAGTGGACTTCCTTTTTGTAAAATGAATTCTTACTGAACATTGTTTCTTTCTTGTCCCTCCAAAAGTGTGTGGATTCTCATGTCATATAACTTGTGTCAACAAAGCTCCCACCACGTGTCCGGTTCCTCCTGAGCAGACCAAAGGTCCCCTGGGTATAGATCCTCAGAAAGGAATAGGCACAGCATATGAAGGTCATGTCCGGGTAAGTATCATCCCGTTGGGTTTAGATTAATCTTTTCAGGTTCATTAATGAATTAAAATATAGTCCATTCACCTTACAAACCCAGTCGTTGGCAGATAATTAGATGAATAAAGCTTACCTAACAATTTTATTTCATCCAAAGTAAGGATTTGAAAACAAAAACCTAGCCTTTGCTTGGAAATTAATTCTAAAATGTCTCAAAATTTTCTGTGCTGTCTTTGTCTTATAATAAACAAATGTGGAAATCTCCATAAAAGGGTCCATAGCCCTCAGTCTTGCTGGAGGGGTGGAATATGCTTGTGAAGTGTGACATATTATCAAGGCATGATCTGATTTGTAATCTTGAATGATATTTAAAATGTAAGCTGCATTTCCTCTTACTACCAAATTTGACTTTTATGCTACTTAGAAATCTATGACTGTTATTTTAATGAATTACTAGTAAAAGTTAAAATGGTACCATTTAAAAATTTTTCAAAACAAAAAGTCATTCAGTGGTTGAAGCATGTATTTTCACATTTTTCTCATGTTATTACTGATAAATGTGTTCCATCTGTTACCTTTCCAACCAAAGAGGCCAACTTCTAGCACATTACCTTCAGGTTTCAGCATGTGGTACATGTGTCATTACATGGGCTCTGGTGGCATTTTAGTTTGAGCCGTTTTTGTCCCTGTGTGTGCCTGTCTCAGATCCCTAAGCCCGCTGGGGTGAAGAAAGGATGGCAGAGAGCGCTGGCTGTGGTCTGTGACTTCAAACTCTTTCTGTACGACGTTGCTGAGGGAAAAGCATCTCAGCCCAGCGTGGTCGTCAGTCAGGTGATCGACATGAGGTAAGCTTGCCAAGGTGAAACTGTTTCTCTCTCTGCACCATAGGGATTAAAAGTGTGTGACTTTTCTTCTAATTATATCGCCATGATTTTATTTAAACCTAATTTCATGTTAATTTTCTGATTTACTAATATTGCCCTAGTAACATAATTAAAAATAGGAACTGAGGTGTAGTTATAGGACAGGTTGATGTGGGGGGGGGGGGCTTGGGGTCAGAGAAAAGAAGCTCCTGTTCGAATCCAAAGGACCAGCTGAAAGGTTGCTGGGTGGTATCGGAGGTCTAATGTGCGGTGTTGACACCATCACCCAAAGGCTTTAGAGTGCAGTTCCCATGTGAGGAAGGGAAATAAAAACCTCGAAGTCAGATGAGCCCTTGGAATATATAGTGCATTGGTAGACATTTCAGGGACTGTTCCGCAGATGTTTCGGGCCTGGTTTTGCAGGCCCTTCCCAGCCCCTTGCAGCTCTTTTTGACCCCTCTGGGCACTGCAGCCACTCTCCTGGAGCCACCGTCCCCTCCCACAGCCCCAGCCGCTGCCTCCACGCTGCTGGCTCCCTCACGCGTGTCCCCTCCGGCCCGCGCAGCGGGGGGTTCCAGCTCTGGCTCCCGCGGGCGTTGCATCCCAGCTAACACGCTGTCTCTCCCATAGCGATGGAATATGAAAGGCTCGATGCCGGACATTTTAGCAAGGGAAATCTGGCAGTGCCTGCCAAGAGCTAAATTTAGAAAGATAAGAGTAAGGCATCAGGTCTCCACGACCAGGAGGATGATGGTATCAATAACCAAATTAAGGCCTAAATTATTGTGACAGGGATCTGTTTTAGGTGTTGGAGGAGCAGTAAAGGGACACATGAGCTGTGCTGAGGGCACTTGAGCTGTATCACGGGAGGCAAGAGTGTACAGTCTGCTGGAGACCCCGGGGTCTCCCCGCATCCACGCCCCAGGGCACGGCACGTCCTGGCCTCGGGAGTCGGGGGAGCCAGGAGTGACCTGGCTGCTGTGTAGTCGCCACGTAAAGCTACTGACAAATTACTGTGGACGCTCTCAGTTACAGTGAGGGGAGAAACCACGTTTTTTAAAGAATTTAATTCGGATGTTTTGTGCCGTTCCATTAGCAGGATTGCTTCCTGTGTGTTACTTGGATAGACACCCAAGACCACACACAAACCCACATGCACTGACTTTTAGTGTTTCACTTTTCCTTCAGGGATGAAGAATTTTCTGTGAGTTCAGTCTTGGCTTCTGATGTTATTCATGCAAGTCGGAAAGATATACCCTGTATCTTTAGAGTAAGTATCTGTGCTATAATTTGATCACTGAATTATTTGTTTTTAGTTAGTATATGTTTTACCTGTCCATACAGACCATAAGCTTATTAGGGATAGGGCCACATCATATGTTCCTTCGTGTATTCTGTGTTGCCCAGTGCTTGAATGAGTAGGCAGCTAATGCTAAGTAAATATTTAATTCTGAAAAGTCTGTGGAAAGCATTAGTGTGTGGCTTCTGAATTAGGTTTCCTCTTGGATAATGTGTTTGAATCACAAATGAATTTTCAAATAAATACTACCACATGGAAAATAGATTAAGGGTAAGATTTCTCAAATTTTTTAAAAATGGAAGTTTTTCTTTCTTTTAAATCTCATTTTAAAAATTAACATGTTTTTCAGTTTTAGTGCTTTGCAAAAACCACTCCAAAATGGAGCGGCTTAAACTAACAGTGATTTATTTTCCTCATTCTCCGGGCCAGCTGAACAATTCTTTCAGTGTTGCCTGGGGTCCCTCCTGTGGTTGCATTCAGCTCATTCGGGGCTGGAATATCCAAAATGACCTCCTCTCACCCCTGGGGCCTTGCTGTTGGCTGTGTGCTGGGTGCTCTCCATCCTCCCTGTGAACGCTCTCCACGTGGTCTCTGGCCGCTCATAGGCTGGCTGAGCGCTCTGTGGCTGACTTCCAAGAGAGAAAAAGGACCTGCCAGGCCTTCTAAAGCCTAGACCACCCCCCACCCCCCACCAAATAAAAAGGCATCATAACCCGTTTGCAGTCTGTTAGTCAAAGCAAATCCCGAGGTCAGCCTGGATTGAAGGGGAGAGGAGTAGATCCCACTCTTTGAGAAGAAGGATGGAATTCCGAAGGGAGAACTGTTGGCAGCCGTCTTTGGGGGCTGTCCACTGTGCAGTCCTGAGTGGGTGCGTAAAGACAGTGGAGGTAAAGAGGAAGGAGTGCCGAGTGCCCTGACCTTCTGCCTGTCTGCTTAGTGTTTGCCCCTGAGGCTTGTGTCCAAGGTAGGTCGGACAAAGGCTATACTTTGTCCCAGTTCCCAGACCAGCAACTATGCTCTGTCCAGCATCCAGCGGAGCCCTCAGGGGCCCACTTCCTGTACCTGATAAGCATAGTGGGAGTTTGTTTTCCTGCTGCTTAAATTACTTTGGTAAGGGGTTCACATATATAAAATGTAAAGCTGCCCTGTTATAAATGCTGTTTGCATAATGATAAGCTTCATTTAAGTAGCAACTACAGTGATCTGAGCTCCAAGATGATGTGAGTTACTGATACGAAGTGACAGAGAATGTATTTCCGAGCATTGCGGCTCTCGTAAATGAAACAAGTGGGGAATCCGGATGGTGCGGTGCTCACCAGCACGGACAGGGGGTCCCACCCTGGTTGTGTGCGCTCAGGGGTTTAACTTCTCTGCAGCAGTTTTTCCATGGGTAAAATCAGAGTGTGATAACAAGACCTGTCTTTATGAAGATGTTAAGAGGGCGATGTGAGTTAATACTTGTGCTTTGTTCAGTGCCCAGAGCTCAGTGATTACTCAGAAATGTCAGCTGCTGTTACATGAGTGTGTGTAATGCACTTTTTAGTAACAGTATTATGGCACCTTATGCTAAGAAAATAAAAATAACAGTAACATTTAGAATGGTATCTGCTGCCTCTGCTTTGCCATGAATTCTAATGCTGAAAACTAGTTATTCTTCTGATTAGGAATAGCTAACCTCTGCTCAAGTTATCAGGTAATGAATGCTCATTGTGTCGACCGGGGCTAAGCAAACTAACCTAAGCATAAAGCTGACTTGAAGAGTGTCTGCTTTCTGATACGAATGTGATTCGCGTTTTCCAGGTCACAACCTCCCAGCTCTCGGCGCCGAACAACAAGTGTTCGGTCCTGATGCTGGCAGACAGCGAGAGCGAGAAGAGCAAGTGGGTGGGCGTGCTGAGTGAGCTGCACCGGATCCTGAAGAAGAACAAGTTCCGAGATCGCTCAGTGTACGTCCCGAAAGAGGCCTATGACAGCACTCTGCCGCTCATCAAAACCACCCAGGCTGCTGCAATCATAGGTGCGCACTGTAGCATTTCTCCTGACTGGCGGCCGGCCTGCCCGGTCAGCAGGGGCTGGTCTCATCCGGGGCCCCCAGTGTCCAGCCTGGTGTGCGTCACGCCACAGGCCTGCAGGGCGTGTGGAATGATTCAGGCCATATTAAGCTTTGTTTCTCAGTAAACAAGAATAGGTGCACTTTTCAAACGTGTTTTTCTTCTGGAAAAGAACAGAACCGAAGTTTAATTTTTAACATATCTGTTCTCTGCTTCTGTGACTAAGAACAAGTGGTGTAATTTCATAAAACATGATTTTCCATGTAAAATGTAGATGCTAATTACCTTACAAAGGTTATGGGGAAGTTTAAATAAAATGTAGTATATAACAGAGTATCCTCAAAAAATGGCCACTTTAGTGTGGAGGTTTAAATTTTCACTGTACTCTTATGTACAAATCCAACTCTTTTGTTATTTTCTAGTAAATAATGAAAAGTTCAGTAAGTTGGGTTCAAATGCGTTTCACAAATTTCCCCTCCCAAAACAAGAAATGGAACTGCACCCATGCCACTAATAAATGAGGTTTTAATTTTTTTCACCTTTTAGTGCATAAAGATTTACTTCTGTAAATATTGGTATAGATTATTTTGCAATAACTGTTTTATTTAAAAAGGCATGAAAGAAAATTTAATAGTGCCCTGGCTGGTGTGGCTCAGTGGACTGAGTGCTGGCCGGTGGACCAAAGGGTCACTGGTTCGATTCCCAGTCAGGGCACAAGCCTGGGTCGCAGGTGAGGTCCCCAGGAGAGGGGGGTACCAGAGGCAACCACGCATTGATGTTTCTCTCCCTCTCTTCCCCTCTCTAAAAATCAATAAAATCTTGAAAAACATAATAGTAAAAAATGTTATTGCTATTTTAAAATTATTTAATTTGGATTTTTTAATGAAATATATCTATTAGTTTTTACACAGTTTTTACCTAATAAAAATGTTTCATATTTATTTATATCTTACATAGATCATGAAAGGATAGCTTTGGGAAATGAAGAAGGTTTATTTGTTGTGCATGTCACCAAAGATGGTAAGAGAAATAATTCTTCTGAATCCTATAACTTCCACGTATGTATTGTCTTCTTGTGTAACTTAATATTTAACAGTTCCGCTGTATCAGCTCAGGTTGCGTTTCTAAAGAAGGTGCATGAAAGAAAATACAACTTGATTTTTCCATTGTTCTAATAGCACTAAAAGCGTCAACAGTCATTAAGATTTGTTTTTTGTTGGTTTTCTTTTTCCCATAGTTTATTACAAAAGATATTTCTCTAAAGAGAAATTAAATACTGGGTGAAATAAAAAGAAACCAATTTAATTTAGTATTCTTGAATACAATGTTCTATGTTCATATCAAGCGAGGTTATAGGGAAAAATGCATTTAAACTTCATTAGTTTGTTACACAAATACTTTTAGTGAAATATGAGTTCCTCATCTTTTAAAAAATATGAACCCGATGGTAAAAAGTTCTCTCGACCTTAGTACCAGTAAAAAGGTTTGTTTGTTTGTTTTTTAAGGTCTCGCATGTCTCGTCACATAGCAACTCTTGGCCTTGGCTGCCAGAAATCTCCGTGCTAAATTTAATACTTTACTATATCTCGTGTGTCAAATTATCTTGTAATGGGTGTAATTATGTTCCTCTTTCTCCCTGTGACTTCTGAACTCTTAATCTTCTCTGTGTGTATATCTGTCTTTATTATAAGTTGACTTACATCCTTTCGAGTATAATTGGGGTATGATTAATAAATAAAACATTTTGGATCTGATTTATGATTATTTCTTTGCGTAGAAATTATTAGAGTGGGTGACAATAAGAAGATTCATCAGATTGAGCTCATTCCACATGATCAGCTCGTTGCTGTGATCTCAGGACGAAACCGTCACGTACGACTTTTCCCTATGTCAGCCCTGGACGGACGAGAGACGGATTTTTATAAGCTGGCAGAGACGAAGGGGTGTCAGACCATAACGTCTGGGAAGGTGCGCCATGGAGCTGTTACGTGCCTGTGTGTGGCCATGAAAAGGCAGGTCCTGTGTTATGAACTATTTCAGAGCAAGACCCGTCACAGGAAATTTAAGGAAATTCAAGTCCCGTATAATGTCCAGTGGATGGCAATCTTCAGTGAGCACCTCTGTGTGGGATTCCAGTCGGGATTTCTGAGATACCCCCTGAACGGAGAGGGAAGCCCGCACAGCATGCTCCACTCGAGTGACCACACGCTGTCGTTCATTGCGCACCAGCCCACGGACGCCATCTGCGCGGTGGAGATCTCCAGTAAAGAGTACCTGCTGTGTTTTAGCAGCATCGGGATATACACGGACTGCCAGGGCCGCAGGTCTAGGCAGCAGGAACTGATGTGGCCGGCAAACCCCTCCTCCTGTTGTAAGAGTCTCTTCTTTTGGCTGCATTATCTTTCTGTCTCAGTGTTTTTCCTTTCACTGCATCTCCTAGATGCCTTTACTGTCAATAAGAGGTTATTCTTAGGTCACCTTCAAGGCTTTTCCTAAGTATCACTGGTAATTGTGTTGTTTATGTAAAGTAACCATGCGTAGTTGTTAAGCCTGGGCCAACAGTGTCAACATTAATGTGCCAACAGTCTTCTTATGGAATATTTTACTTAGATGGACTTTTTTTTTAACCCATGTTATTATATTTTCAAATAACCCTAAATAGTTATCTTCATGATCCTCAAAAATGCAGTGTGATTATTAATAACTGAGAAGTCTTCTTCTGGAGAAGTAGTTGCTAAGTGTGAAGGCATAAGGTAACATCTGTAAGAACCGTTACTCAGTTTTACATTTTCATCTAGACAGGTCAATATTTAAAATTTCTTATTACACTCTTTCAAGAAGCATTGGACATTAGTAAGTTTTGGAATACTCTTGTGCCATTTTGCTGACTAAGATGTGACAGGTAGGAGGAGTATCAACCCAAAGTGTTTTTGGTGGAAGGCACTTGAGCATGTTTAACGCTGAAGGGAAGGAGCCACTTCGGGAAATATAAGCAGTGAAGTGAGATCCCAAGACGGCCCGAGAGGGTGGGACTTAGAAGGGGGGCGGTGCGGGCAGGAGGAGAGAAACCTCTTCCCTGGAACCGGAGAGAGAGGGGTGATGGGGATGCGTACAGTCGAGTTTAAAGGTTCATAAGAAGAAAGTTCTGGAGAGCCATACATGCTTATTATAGAAAAATTAGAAAATCTAAATAAAAAGAAGAAAAGGAAAATATCTCTAGTCCTACAAACCCAGACCTTAGTGTAGATAAATCATCTAATCTTTCTTTGCTCATGTCACCATTTATTTATTCTTTCAGTAGTATATATTGAGCATCTACCCTCTATATGTAACACTGCTGGGTACTTTATCATGCATTCATAACTGGGACCAGAAAGTACTCTTACCTAAAGATTTCTCTGCTTCATAGGATTGTTTCACTGTCAATTGTTTAACTACTTCAGGAATCAAATACTTTAAAATGTAATGAAATTCCTTTATAGAACTAGTATTGAGCAAGGGAATAGTACGCCCTTGGTGTTAAAAGAATCCTTCTGTATTATAATATCTATAATATATCTGTATGGTTATATTCCATTTACTTGAAAAAGATTTTGATATTGTTATATGATGACAATAGGATTTGGGTCGGATTCCACGCTATAAGTATCTAGCATAGATCTTTCCAAATGTTTTTGGTTTAACAGTTCCCTCTTCTTTCTCCCAGGTTACAACGCACCCTATCTCTCAGTGTATAGTGAAAACGCAGTTGACATCTTTGATGTGAACTCCATGGAATGGATTCAGACTCTTCCACTCAAAAAGGTGATTTAACATTAAAACATGGACTAAATGAATTCATGAGTCTAAGTGAAACGCTAATATGACTATGACTATTTAGCTATTTTTCACTAATTCAGCAATTTCTAGCATATGTAATTGGTAATTTGTTACTTAGCTTAAGAGAAAAAACAAAACAAAAATCAAGCTGGTTAATTTTACAAGTAGCTCAATTCCATACTTTTTGTAATACATTTAATTTCGCTGTATAAAGTAAGGTTATTTTAATGAACAACTAGACTATATCCTACAACCTAAAATGTCAGCATTACTTTCGGCAGTAGTTTAAGGAGCCCCGAGGGTGCATGTTATTCTTAATTATAACTGCTTTTCACATAATGGTGTGCAATTGGGGACAGATTTACAGGCTAGAAAAGTGATTAGAATTAGAATCAAAACTGTGTTTAAGCATCTCATAATTTAAAAATAAAGGTTTCACGTATTCCTACTGGAACACAATATTTTCCTTTAACATTTCCCTGTGATAACATATTCAGAAATTTTTGCAAGTAGTATAGAACAGTTATTTTGCAAAAGTGAAGAGTAATAGTTTTATATAGATATATGTAACATGTGTCATTATTTAGGGAATGGGGTTTATAAGAATAAGGAAAAGTAGCCAAGACTATATTTCAAAGTCGTCCTCAATTTAAACTGCATTATCAGTGAATAAAACTTGTAAATACTGCTGCATTATATAAAGCTACTAAAGACAGTCCTCTGGTTTTTAAATTTTGGCTGAGTACAATTAGTTTTTCCTTTTAGTTTTATTATGTAAATTTTACACTACATGTGAAAGAGTATATGACCTTTAAGAAGCTTGATGATAAACCAGTCACTTGTGAACACACCTAACTCAAGAGCCAGAACATTACCACTACCCCTGCCTCTACCTGTGTATTTTTCTCTATCCCGTATTCCTGTCGCTCTCCAGGGAAATCACTCTCAGACGTTGTTTATCCTTTCCTTGCTTTCCTTAAATATTCCTAAGCACTGTATTGTTCAGTTTTGCTTGCATTTGAAGCCATCTTCTACCTGGCTTTCTTCATACATCTGCTGTGTTTCTAAGGTTCGTCCCTGTAGTTGTGCATTCTGACCACCATGTTGTTATGTGTTGTTCTTTGCTTTCACTATGTAAAATATTCTGTTGGGCGAATAGATCATAACTCACCTATTCTCTGATTAGCAGCTTTTTGCTACTGTGGACATTGTTGCAAGAGTCTTCTGCTGCGTGTGTGCAGGAGTTTTTTTACGTCATATGCCTGGGAGTAGAAATGATGGGGCATGGAGAATTCAAATGTTCAACTTTACAGGCTAGTGTGAGATTATTTTCCGAAGTAATTGTGCAGGTTGACGCTCCACCAGCAGTATATAAGAGTTTTTGCTGACCTGCATCCTCTCTCACTCTTGCTATTGTCAGAATTCATAGTTTGATAGCCCTTATAAGTGATTATAAAGTGGTAACTCATTGAAGTATTAATTTGCATGTCCCAAATCAACTATGTTGTTTATAATCTTTTGTGTGTTTATTCTTCATTTATATTTTCTCTTTGGTGAAATAGCTATTCATACTTTTGCTCATTTTTCTGTTTGATTGGTCACCTTACAGATTTTTTGAAATTCTTCACATACTGTAGATACGGGATCGGTAATGGGAATGGCGAATTTTTTCCCTGTTTGTAACCTATCTAACAATTTTTACGGTGTTTTGCTGGACATTTATTTTTATAAAATAGTAGTATTTCTCTGCTGAAAATTTGTTATAAATTTTAATATACTTAAATGTATCATTCTTATTCTTTAGTTTTATCTTTCTACTGTTGTTTAGTACCTCTTTTCTAACTCAGGGTTGTAAAGATACAACCTTTCTTTTCTTTTTGAAAGTTTTGCCCATTACATTTATGTGTTCAGTCCATTTGGAGTTGATTTTGTTTTGGTGCGGCGCCCGGTGCCGATTGAGGGCCATTTCTCCCACACAGATAACCAGTCGCTCCATCACCATTTATTGTCAGTGCCAGTCACCTCTGTCGTGTGTCCATTTAGTTCAAACAAGATTCGTAAAGTATCTGTGTTGATATCTTAGTATAATCATTTGGTGACTAATGGCTTTAAAAAGTCAAATTTAAGCTTTAAATGTATTTGTACTTTTTTTTTTTGTTCAAGACAATCTTCCTTTAAAGTGCTATCATTATAATTTTGTTCAAATTAGATAATTTTATACCTTTCCAGTCAGAATTAATGTTAGTTTTTTGTTGATTTTCTGAGAGGGCTGTGTTTTGGAGAGGATGGATAAATTCAAGGTCTTGATAAATGGGCCAAAAGTTTTATGGTTTAATTTTTGAAGGTTTTGTTGAAATACTAATTTTATTTTTTACTATTTTAGGCTCGACCTTTAAACAGTGAAGGATCATTAAATCTTTTAGGCCTGGAGACAATTAGATTAATATATTTCAAAAACAAGATGGCAGGTAAGAAAATAACACGTTAATAGGAGAGCTTCAGTGGACATATTCTCTCAACTGACCACCTAAGTATAATATGGGACAGAGCCCAGATTGGAACTCAGTTGTACCTTATGCCCGAGTCTGTGGGCTTGGCCGCTATTGTGCACTCTCTCAGTTGGTTAAGGTTCACTACTGGACAAAACCTTCTCTTCAAGCTTGCGTAGCTGTGTAACCAAAATACTTGTGTCTGACCTACCTTGTTGTTTTTCTGTGGAGTACCAAGTAAGGAAAGTAGGACTGAATATATTTTCTGTACTTTTAGTACTGTAGAACCTACCCAAGATTTGTAGCACTAAAATATGGACATTCATCTGGAGTTCCTCTTTGGGACGTTCGGAATACATCTTCTGCCAGTTGACGCATGAGCATTGCGCTTAGAACCTTTGAGGTGCTCATGACAGCATAGGTGGCAGAAGCAGGGACAGGAGAGTCGCTGGGGTGCACAGAGGCTGGAGGAGGAGCGGGAGCCCTGGGCGTCACGGAGAGAAGGGTAGTGGTGTCCGAGGTGGCGAGGTGAGTCCCAGCCAGGGAACTTCCTCTGGGGACTGCGCAGGCCAGGGGCTTGCCTGTCCGAGTGCGTGCAAACAGGTAAAGTCTCGCTTATTAGTGGTGTTTTTATATTATTATTATAGTGCCCTCTTCTGTATAATAAAGTGATTATCATGTCTTAGAAACATGTTTCTACATAACAGAGGCACTGATAGACTTAAGATGTTTTATAGTGGACTTGTTTAATGAAGATGTACTTATGGTACATTATTTATTTAAAATAATTTAAATTGATTTAAATGTAAAAACATGACATTAGGAAAACACATTAAAATATTTAAACCAGTTTTCTTTGGGTAGTGGAATGAACATCTTTAAGTTTTTCTTTTCTTTTTTCCTATATTCTTCCAATAAATATGTATATTGTACTATCGAAAAAAGCCATCAAAAGTGTATCTGTTGTTTCTGTTTGGTTTTAATACTGAAGTGCACACACAGAATGTTTGGCCTCAGACTTGCTGCCCTGGTGGCGCCTTGTGGCACCTCGTGGCACCTCAGGCCCTGGGGACACAGGCCGGTGACCGGAGGCGGGTGGGCCAGTGGGACCTGAGGGAGGACGGTCAGGCTTTCGAAAACGATTCCCACTTGGACGCGGACTCGCTATGGAGCTGCTGGCACAGGCCGTACGGCCCTCATTTCCAAGGCCCTGCACTTAATCTCATACCAGCTTCTTAGAGGAGTCCCAAATATTGGTATAAGGTCGAACCTACCCTCTCCTCTCCGCATGTGACCGTGAGGATACTCAGGCCTGTCCATGCCCAGTGGTGTGTGCAGAGTGGCCCGGCTCCAACCTGGCTCTCCCGGGCTTCACCGCTCTGCCCCCGGCGAAGGGCGAGGGTGACGCTCGGAGAGGGACGGCCTGACAGAATTCCAGCGGAGCTGGCTTGTCCTTTGAAGGGGCAGGGAGCCCTGTTTCCCAGAGATCCTCTCTCTTTCCGTCTTGCTTTCCCCGTCACCTCTTATCTGAGGGGCTCCCAGTGTGGCTGTCTCTCCCCATGACCTGCTTTATCCTCACAATTCTCAGGTTCCACAGTCGTGTTTCACATTCTCATCTCCTTGAAAAATTGTGCCCATTTTCACGTTCGCTGCTAGGAACGCAGTCTGATTAAGCTGCGGCACCACAGTATGAGGGGGGCGTGGCTTTTTTACCAGTCATCTTACTCCGTTCTGCCTTACCCTCCCGTTTGGCTTCCTCCCACGTCCTTTTTCTCACGTAAGCTTTTTGGGTATTAAAACCGAGTAAAGATGGGCTTTTCTCTTTGTCCTGATCTTACCTAGAGCAGGGCATCCCTCATGCCGCGTGGCCATAGCTGTCTGTTCTGCAGTCTGCCCGCGTCTCGCGGCGTGCTTTGGGAGCCTGCGGCTGACGGTCGTGTTTACTTCTGCGTGTTAGAACTGAAGTAGAACAAGATGGGCACTGGCCTGCTGGGTGTGTAAGATTAAATATCCCCTGCCCCCAGGATCGGAAGCGTGGAAATCGTGGCAGATTCCTGCCTTGAGTCATGGTGACTGCTGGGAACACCGCTCCTATTCCTTCCCCTGCACCCAAGATTGGGTCTTGCAAAGAAAACATTTTACTTTGTAAAAATAACTGTACTTGTTATCACTTGCATGACTAATTTGCCATTTATGCCTGATTACGGTGCAGGTTGCAATAGTTTTTGAACACCCTGAGCCACTGAAACCAGTAGCTAGAAGGAGAAAGAAAGTGTCGCTACTGGGGGTGAGGTGGCCAGAGCGACAGGGCACCAAGGCCGCTATATTTTTCTTTTTTTCTTCTAGTAAAATTGTGCTCTTTTATGTTTATAATCAAATAAAAGGGAAGTACACTTTGTAAGCTGTGTTTAATTTCAGGATCTGTTTATATATGTTCTGTTGAAAACTATTGCTTGTTTACCACGATCATCACACAACTTTTAAACACCAGAATCGCATGTACTGTACTTGCCCAATTGGATAACGTTTATATTGTCTTAGAGATGAATGGGTAAAAGGCATTTCATCTCTTTTCAAACATCATTGTTCTCCGTATTTTTTCAACAGAAGGGGATGAACTGGTGGTCCCTGAAACCACAGATAATAGTCGGAAACAAATGGTTAGAAATATTAACAACAAGCGGCGTTACTCCTTCAGAGTCCCAGAAGAGGAAAGGATGCAACAGAGAAGGTAGAGACCTCGTTTCTGCGGATCTTCATATGCTTTTGTAGCGTGGGAAGGGCTGTTCAGTGATAATCCTGCATTTGATTAGGGGGGAAAAGTTGATCTCTGAAAACCTATCATTCATCTGTGGTGTGGAAAACTGCAATGATGAATGTACACCTCAGTGTAATTTTAATTAACACTCTCCAAGTTGTGTGAACTAGATTAAAGCACCATATTTTGATTCATTTCTCTATGTGTATGGGGTACTTACAATTTTTAGAATGTGAACCTTGTTATAGAAACAGGACCCACCTGTGCATAATAGTAAACCCGTGTATATTTAAGAACTTCAGATTAACTCTTCTCTTTATGGCAAACAGAAAGAGGCTTGTGGTGTTTTCGGTTACATATAAAAACATTTCTAAGTGTTATCGATTATTTTAAGACATAGTAGATGCTCTGAATTACCCGTAGAGTAGAGCTGCTTTGACGTCTCTGCACTAAACCCTCTCTATTTTCCCACCCAAAACTGTAAGGCCTTTTATTTTAAGTGTAAAACAAATCTTCTAACTAAATTTTTGATTGAGTATATTGTTTTAATTCTATCAGTATTAACATGATTTCATTTATTTTAATGAAAAAATAGCGTCCTTAGTTTGTTTCTAGGGTTCTCTCGATCATGGAAAGTGTCTGAACACGTGTTTTCTCTTACAGAGAGATGCTGCGAGATCCTGAAATGAGAAATAAATTAATTTCTAACCCAACTAATTTTAACCACATAGCACACATGGGTCCAGGAGATGGAATACAGATCCTAAAAGACTTGCCCATGGTAAGAGAAACGAAGAGGGAACGTGAATATGAATTGGGGTTGAGTGAAGGAGGGGATCCATATATGTTTGTGTGTGTACACTGTATGTGCTTAGATACATATAAAACTTACTTAAAAGGATATATTAGGATAATGAGGAAGTGTTTATCTCAATATATCGCAATGTATGTAAAATGCATGATGGCATACCTGATGAGAAAAACGTAAAATTTAGACATTTATCAAAAACCAAACGCATCATGTTCTCATTTAGTTGCATACCCTACAGACTTGTCGCATAACCTAGATTTGCTGTTGTTGGTGAAGTAAACTGCCAGATGGGAAGAGGACTTGCTCCAAGATTCAGAACTTGGTTACCAACTCACTAATACTCCACTAAGGTTTAACAATTCAGTACAAGGAGCTGGCCCGCCTCCCAGAGAATCCCATTGGCTCGGTCATTAATGGTCACAGCTGCTTGTGACATCAGATCTTTTTCCTTTGCCTGGTCATTCTTACATTAAAAAAATGCAATATGGGAAAACTTGGGGTTTTTTTTTTTAAACAATATAAAGATTGGATTTTTGGACCTGTTATTTTGATATTAAGAATATTACTGGGCTCTCTTTATACTTAACACCTCAGTATCAGAGTGTTCTCCACAAACTGTTGAAACCTTAGCATCACCCTATTGATCAGTGGTGATAGCATCTAGATTTTGCACAGAATTCTAAGCATATTTTATATTCTGTGGCAATTTGGTAGATGCTTGTGAATTTTGGCCCACAGCGCTTTCTACGGAAGCCTGTGGTAGTTATCCATGTTAGTAGCTCTGCTGTCTGAAGTTGTGAACATCACTGACAGGAAAAACGATAGGTAATATAGAGTTTGACGTGCAGTCAAGTTTTGTTTTTTCTAAAGATTTTATTTATTTTTAGACAGGAAGGGGAGGTGAAAGGGGGAGAGAAACATCAATGTGTGGTTGCCTCTCGCACGCCCCCTACTGGGTACCTGGCCTGCAACCCAGGCCTGTGCCCGGACTGGGAATCGAACGGGCAACCCTTTGGTTCTCAAGCCAGCACTCAATCCACTATGCCACACCAGCCAGGGCAATTTTTTAAATAAAAAAACATAAGCCTTTAAAGATAGTTTTGCATTTATTTATTGGGAGGAACAAAAAAAATTGCATTCATTTGAGTCCAAGTTCCTCATTTTAAATATCCCAATTAAGATAAAACAGTTGAAATGTGAATGTGTTTATAGCTTCTGTGTGATAAATGAAGTGGTATATAGTATTTTAATGATATTTTTTGAAATTTAGTTAGTAATTTTTCAACGCCTGATATATATTTAGCATTGTGGAGAGATGGAAAGATACAAATTTGCAAAGCAACACATCAGCAAATACAAAATTATTTCAGGAGTTAACAAGGCTTTAATGGGCATTATCCTTTTAAAATTAATTTCTTTCACTTTTGCTTCATTTTGGCACACAAAAAAATATAGTTTTCATCTCATATTTCTAAAGCATAGCAAGAAGAAAATTTTTAAATAAATATTATGTTCCACATGTTACAGTATATTCCTTATGGTGAAATAGTTTTAGGACTTAATAAAAAGTTTCTCTGCTTGGTATTTTTCTGCCGTCAGGTGACAAATCAATTTGCTGATGTTCCAGAATTCTTTAGACGTTCATACCTGATAAGATTTGGGCTCCACACACCTGAATGAGCACACTTAAGCTAAATGTCAGATTTCAAACATTTATAAGAACCTTTATATCAGAGTATCCCTGCTTACTCTACCTTTTCTACTGAAAAGAAAACTGTTTCATTTTTTTGTTCAAAATGAAGTCCAGGCTTTACTGCTGAGCAACTCCAGTTTGGATCCCACTTCCCAGGGGGCTGTGCCCCTGACTTCGTGCCTTCCGGGCTGGCTGCTCACCCCCCTCAGACCATTTGATTTTTAGCATTTGCTGTTGCTGAGTTCACGACCACCTCGTTGGTTCTTTTTGTCATTAACACGAGTAACTTTTTCCCCTGGCAGTTTTGAAAGTTCCTTCCATTCATTTCATATTTTCTTATCATGTATACACTTCTGGATTTCAGGGCAAGAACTTGGTGTAGACTTTTGAAACCTGTTCTGCTGTACATGCAGTATTGCACCAAAGGTTTTGTGTGAATTCCCATTTTTTGCAGTGATGACTTTATTTTCCCCTGATGTTTCCTCCCCTCACTAGCAAAGAGCATGCACGCTGGGGCTTTGCACAGAGCCCCTATGCTCACCTGGCCCCCGCTTCTTGGTACGCCGACTGCCCAGTGCCGCGCCCGCCATGGGGTGGACGGGCAAACAACCGACAGCCTGCCTGGCCGGGCCCGTATTTATTGAAAAGCTTGCACACTTTAATACACTCTCAGAATTGGGTATGTTCTTTCTACTGAAATGGGGTTACCTGTATTAGTGAGCTATTTACAAAAATAAAGATTGAGTCAATCTAACATTAGCATATAGAAGAGGAGTTTTCAAATACCAAAGTTACTATTGTCATCCGGGTAAAAACCGCGTACCCCAGACATTTCTGTGTTTTACTTCCTCAAATCAGTGTTGCTTCCCTGTGAAATACTCCACAAGCCTAGAGAGTGTGTTGGACGTCTTTGAAAGCTCAATGCTGTTTCTTCTCTCCCGAAGTAATGTTGAAGTAGGGTTGTTAGCCTGTGACCGTGGAAGAGGTAGTAAGGATAAGAGTCCATTGTTTTTAAGCTCCCGTGTCAGCTGTGAACCTTCTGTGTCTTAGTGAGCCAGGAGGATGGAAACAACGGAAACGGCACGCGTGTCTTAGAAGTACATGCTGTGTTTGTTTTCTTGAATTACCTTTTTCATAATTACCAGTTACCTTTTTTGCCAATTACCTTTTTCATAAACGGATACTGGTAATAAATGACAAATTTCTTTCCAATTGAAGCAAGAATAATATTTTACCTCTAGAAGATTTATTTTTAACATGTAACATCTTTCATAGCCCTTTACCGATTCCTAAAGTTGACACTAAATAAAATTTCTAGTTCAGTGACCTCATAGAGCTTTAAGAAGTAATTTAGCCTCTTAAAATCAAAGTTATATTTACATCAGTATTTTTTTCTATTTGGAAATAACCTTAGAAAGCACTGATTTCGCTCACATTTCTAAATTTAAAACCGTATCCTATATAGGAGCTTTTTTTTAAGCCTATATAATTTACCAGATTTTTTTTTTTTTAAACAAAGCAAGCTTATCTCAACTCTTGAGGACAGAAATGCAGTCAGTGTTCTCTCCAGCGAGTCATCCCACCTCTGCCTTGAATTAAGGAATCGTAGGATTTTTTCTGGAAAAACAGTTGTTTAGGAACTGAATCTTGAAACTTCCCATCAGGGAAGGTGACTAGGTACTGAGTGACAGTCCCCAAACACTCAGGCGTTATTTTATCTGAAAAACTAGAGTCCTTGGCTTCAAAAGTTTTTTTCTGTATGTTTATTTTTTTTTTTTAATGCACCTGAACATGTAAGGGAAGATTTTTCACTTGTTAAAAAACAAACGTACTCTTTCGGGTGTCTAAATGGGGACAGACTTGGGCTGCTTCCAGGTAAACCCATAACTAGTATATTCCAGTTACTATTTTTATCATAGGAAAATAGGATCAGTGAAAGTAAACTCATATCACAAATTTATAAAGACCAGGAAACGGCTTTAGGTTTCTAAAGAAACAGTTTCATAATGCTTCTGGTGAAAGGCTGGTTATTGGTCCACTTGTTCTTTTATTATTTCTTGCTTTTTCTATCCTTAATATTTTTGGTAGATGTTTGCCATGTTTTGATTCTGTCACATGAGAAAACACTGAAGTAAAATCTGACAGTCTCCTTATGGCTCTGAAAGTCCAGTTTCTACTCACTTGATGATAATAGAAAAGAATAATTTTATTGGATGTGTTATTATTATTTATTATTATGCAAATTATCTATTTAAGTAGCTGGTGCAAGAGGATTACAAAATTTAACTCACTGAGGCCTAAAAGCAGTTCACAAAGGATTCGCTGCTGATGCAATATGCTTCACTTCACTCTTTCCTGCGCGCATGTCGTCTGAAATGTCACCTGTAACCAGCAAAGCCATTCCATCACCTCATTACCTTTTCTCTTCTTTCTGTTGTTTTGATAGCCAGGCTTCCCTTATCCATCCCCTCATCTTCACTCCGGTCTGATCTCCTCTCCGATCAACTTTGAGCACATCTATCACATGACTGTTAATTCCGCTGAAAAATTTCTCTCTCCTGATTCCATAAACCCTGAATACCCCCCGTCTCTGCGCTCTGTCCCCGGTACACCCAGCCTTAGGACTCCGAGGGTACGAACAGCGGGCCTGGTGCCCACTTGTACTAACCCCGTGTGGCTGTCCCCCGCCTGGCTTCCTAAGTCACCCCACCGAAGGGCGCCCTCTGGGCATTTCCCCGGGGCTGGTTTCCCTCTTGCCTGACCTCTGTTGCTCCTCCTCTCCCTCCTCCCCCTCCTCCTCTTCCTCTTTGTTCTTCAAGTCCTATTTTCTTTCTTCTCTTGAGGAAAAAGATGAGGACTGGGGAGGATGTCAGTTTTATTTTTGAAACTATATTGGAGGTTTTTCTGTATTTATTAAAATACTTCCCATCATGGTATTTTTCCATTATAGAGACCATGATGAGAAATGACCTCTAAGTGGGTCTTTATTCTGTGAAAACAGAAAAAGGATCCCAGAATTTATGAATTTTTCATAGCTCATTCAAAGAAACATTATATATTTAGTGAAATTAAAGTCTATAGTCGGTGCTATACACAGGCTCAGCTCCAATAAACCCCTCTGGAAAAGCTTAAAATCTCCAAAATAAAAAGTATAACAAAATAGTATTAACGAATAACAGGAGAAAATTACAAAAAGAAGCCAATCTTACAAATCTTTGAGTTGCCAGTGTGCCTTTAATTCCAACCAGGATCCAACATAAGAGAACTAAATGGAAGAGAAAAACTGCCAACTGCGCCACCCTGAGGCCGGGCCGCCCGGGCACCAGCTGCCGCCCTTCCGCTCAGCCTCAGGCCTTCACAGCCAGCGGCTTCGCCTTTGGCCTCAGCCTCGGCCCGGCCTCGCAGGGCCGGGGGCGTTGCCCTTTCACACCGACTTCCCCAGTTCCCTCGAGAAGTAGATGCTTGTACTCCTAACTTCAGGGGGACGTTTTCTCAAGTTAGTTTTACAGATAAAACATTTGGATCGGGTCACGCAAACCCATTTTCCATAGTGTCCTCTGGTTTAGAGAAATTGTGGCATCAACTCTTTATTTGTAATATAGTAAATTAATTTCCCAATAAAATTTGTGGGATAAGGAATTTATTTTCATACTTTTGTTTGTATTATAAAGTTAGTCTGAATTATAATGTTTTAAATGTCATTGACCCTAAACTATGTCATCTAAGTATCTTATTTAATAAAATAATTATTTACGACAAAATAAGCCTTAGTTTGGAAACAAGTTTCGGGGAGCGGATCCTCGAACAACGCTGTATATAAATCAGTCAAGAATTTTTCATATAAAAATGGCGGTGGAAATTTTGCTTAAATTGATCATTTATAACAAGAAATACCACTGGCAGTGGAACTTTTGCCCTAATTGCAAGCATATTTGTACATGAAAGACCAGCAGATTAGGTTCCATGTCACTTTATAATGAAGTTGAATGACAGCTGAATGAATGATAAACTTTTTTTTTAACGAAACCTATCTTCTGTGTGTCATTCTCTTATTACTTCAGCATCCAGTGTTACTAAAGAGCTGGTGTATTTTTTATAGGCCCAATTTTTGCCATTTGTCTCGGGGTAGGTTTGCTTTACAGAACAGGATCACACCAGGGTGTGGCGGGCCAGTGCAGGAGCAGGGCGGTGTGAAGGTGGGAGATGCTCGCCCCTGTCTCCCGCGCTTGCCTCTGCTGCATCGCGTGCATGTTGCCGGCATCTCCAGGGATGCTCCTGGATGCGTGAATGCTGAAATGTTAGCACTGACTGTTTCCTTTCCAAATTTCTTATTTTTTAGAGAAAACAAGGTAAAGCATTTGCCTTTAACAAGTAACATACCAGGAGTTGCATGGACTTTGCAAATTTGTCATGTGAACCAGAGTGGCTGTGGCGGATTCGGGGCCGGGCAGCCACCTCTCAGTAGGCGCGGTTCTGCAGAATGTATGATTTGGAGTTTTTCAAGTGACGTGCAGGGCTGGTGTGGGCTCCGCATGGCTTGTTTGGTCACAATCTCCTCCAGCGGTCAGCCCTGACGGCCCTTTGGGTCTCAAAGGCTGGGGGTCTCCGAGGAGGCTGCAGGCTTGTGTTCCCAGCGGGCCGTGGTCAGACAGCTTGTCCCACACACCGCCCTTCTGGGCGTGTGACTTTCTGATCACTCCGTGGCCCGTTTTCATACCTTGGACACCAAAATCTCTCACTGATTAGATGGAAAATGTCTCAAACCCATATTCCAAAGTTATATCACGTCACACTGGCTGTGGTTGTTACAAAAGTCGTGTTTACGACTCGATCCTGCTCGGTCTGTGGGAGGCAGTGAGGGTGCCTGGTGACCAGGGCCGGGAACCGCACAGGCACGTCTGCTGCCATGCCCACGAGGCAGCCACTTGAAGGAAGGGGCTTTTAATTGATTTTCCTTCATGTGGGATTGTTCAGCTATTGAATTATCCTAAGCAAATAAGAATCTCATACTTCGTTTCACTCAACTGCAAATGTCCGTGTAATTCTGCCATTCACCATCCCTTCTAACCATGTAACGATTACTGTTCTCACAACAAAAAAATGTCTTATTTGTGGACAGATGTTTCAGTAAGCAGAAAGGCGAGCATTTCTTGTTTGGGCTGAAGGTTACTTCTCTTCCTTAGGGCTTCAGCACCTATGCGGGCAGAGGGATTATACTGTCTGTTCCTTGTTCTGTATCACTCTGGTTAAGGTCATTTTGTTTCTTGAAATTATAGTGAAAAACAGACATCTCTGCACAGGAATCAGATTCTGTCTGGCTGAAAATTTTCTCTCTTGCTTTTAGAACCCTCGGCCTCAGGAAAGTCGGACAGTATTCAGTGGCTCGGTCAGTATTCCTTCGATCACCAAGTCCCGCCCGGAACCTGGCCGCTCCATGAGCGCCAGCAGCGGCCTGTCGGCAAGTAAGTGGCCTCGGCTGCAGGAAGGTAGGTCGCGCCCTGTGCAGCCCCACGCATCCCGTGGCTGACGGGCGTGCCCCATGCACTCCCAGACGCTTCGGGGTCTCGGCCCCTACTGGCTGCCCCGAGTAGGCCCGGTGCGGGTGGTAAGCACAGGGTCTTGGAGCCCTTTTAGAGCACAGGCCACCTCGGAAACAGACCAGTAGCCTGCAAAGTGCCCTGATGGAGGTCCACGGAGGTAAACAGGGCGGCAATAGAGGGAGCCAGGGGCAGCCGTCGGCGTGAATGCGCACAGAGGAGAACTGGGAGAATCACGTGCTCGTCCGGGGTGCCGCCCCGGTGAGTCGTGTCAGATGAATTGACAGAAGGCCAGTGGGGCTCCCGGATGGTGGTTGGGAGGGACAGAACCCGCAGCTCAAGAGGTGGGAGGGGCAGATCACGCAGGGGCTTGGAGGACAAGGTAAGACTTTTTTTTTTTTTAACGGCTTAGAAAGCCTGTGAAGGACTTCTATCCAGCTTGCATCAGGCTGCCAAATGGAGAGCAGGTTGGAGGCGGGCGAGGTGGGAATGCGTGTCCCGAGGGCCGCTCGCAGGGGCCTGGGACCCGGTGGAGGGGGGAAAGTGGAAACGGTCTCCAGATGAGCTTCTGGAGGTAGAAGCACTGAGACTCTGTGATGAACGAGTTGTAGGAAGGCAGGCGATGGGAGGCGTTGAGGATGACTTCCTGCCAGAGCAGGCGGTGATAGGACCTGCTGCCACTTGCCGGGCTGGAGGGGGCTGGCCGGCATTCCGGGCCTGTACAAAGGTCGCAACAGAGGTCCCAGGGTCAGAAAAACATTTGCCTGTTTGATTAACTGAGAGAAGGCTGGGGACAGGTTCGAAAGGTTACCCTTTTGCCACAAAAGCAAGATAAGAGTCATCATTCATTCAGTAACCATTTTTAAGGACCTGAGAGACGAACCTTCTGCCAGGGTACAGAGGGTGACATCACCGGCTGTCGGGCGCTCACAGTTTGTATTACCGGCCTCTTTTTTTCACTCTGAACTGTGGCATCTCTTCTCTTGGCTTCTGTACAGAGCCCTGAGCTGAGGGGCCAGGGGGGCAGGAAGCTGTGCTCCATTATGTACGTATGCCCAGCTGCAGCCCAGGAGCGACTTTTCCTTGGGGAGGAAGGGCGGAGAAGGTGTGTAGCAGGTGCTGTTTAATTCCTGGATCGTGTGCAGTGATTGTCAGGTGGTCATTGGAGCTTCTAACTGGGGGACGACTGTTCTGGGCTAAGGACTGCTCTCTGTCACCGCTCAGAAGTGGCAGGGCACTGGCAGAGATCAGAGAGCGCAGCCTGAGGGTGCCAGCCCACACGCAGCCCCAGGCCCTGAAGTGTGTCGGCGTAGCTTGGATGAAACCACTTCCCCACACCGACCCAGGAGAGAGTCAGATCGCACCAAGTTCAGCTTCACATTTAGGAGTCATTCAGTCAACAGCCATATCTGTTGCCCTGTGTTCCTGGGCGGCGGCCCAGCCGAAGCCTCCCAGGCCCAGGCCTTCCCTCCTTGGTTGGCTGTTGGTCACCTGCAAGCCCTGGGGTCAGCGCCCATGTGTGTGCAGCTGCCTGGGGCGCACCACGGACGGGCCTTCACCGGGCGGGGCCTCTTCGGTTCACAAGGGCTGCAGTATTTTTGGTGGCCGCTGGGTACATACGCTTTAAACAATCGTCTTTTGACATTTTTATTGAATGCTTAAAAAAAAAAAAGAAAGAAATTGGGATTTGTTAAACCAGCAAAAAGCTATGATAGTCACAATCTGTATCTGAACATAGTCTTTTATGACCAGTGGTGTTAACATTGAAGCTCAGTAAGAGCAAAACATTTTTTAAGCAAAAATTTAAAATAATAGGAAATCTAAGAGCTTTGTGTCTCAGGCTTTTTGCCCTGTAGAATGAAATTGCTTACATTCCTTTGGCTTTTAATGAGAATCCTCTAGGAGCGAAGTGGCAGGCGTCAGCTGAGATGGTCTTTATTTCAGGGAGACATCTGTCTTCCTCCATCACTCAGCCCGTTGTTGAGGGCCTGCCACACGCCAGGCCCTGGGCTGGGCCCTGGTGAGGCCGAGGCCGCGCCATCGGGGGAGGGCAGCCGTGGGCTGTGAAAGAGACGGAGCGGCCGTGGGAGCTCCGGACAGGGGAGGGACTCACGCAGGCAGGGCGGTCCGGGCATGGCCTGCGTGCGCTGCCCCCTCCCCAGGTGTCCCCAGGAGCAGGGCCAGCTGGGCGCTGGGGTGACGCGGCTGGACTCGCTGTCCGTCCCTGCAGGACTCTGAGCCGGGGAAAGGGGTCAGGGACCTGGGGCCGTGGGAAGGGTGGCTTACCATCCCCTCCGGCACCTGTCAAGCTTCACCTCGCTGACGCACCGCAGGGTCATCGGCACAGAACGGCAGCGCGTTAAAGCGGGAGTTCTCTGGAGGAAGCTACAGCGCGAAGCGGCAGCCCCTGCCCTCCCCGTCCGAGGGCTCACTGTCCTCCGGAGGTGTGGACCAAGGAAGTGACGCCCCGGCCAGAGACTATGACGCAGAGGTGAGCGCGGCGGGGGGCAGCTGTCAGGAGCGGGTTCGGAGAGCCCCTGTAGCCTGGGCGCGAGAGCCTTCGCTGTGAGCCTGCGATGGCAAAGCCAGCCGCTTGCGTCGCAGACTCCTGTTTCCTGGAGGCCTGCAGGCTCCTCGTAGCTTTTATGTCAATGTGACCGACATCTCTAAAGGCCTGAGAGAGGGCTCTTGAGTGTTCGTTGTACTCGGTGCTTCTTAGCTCAGAAAGGGCGTCTTGCCCTGAGAGTAGCAAAGTCACGAGGTCCTTTGGTCGGGTGTCCGGGGGGGGCACCGGTGGTCACCAGAGCCCCTCCTGCCCTCTGCTTATGACTAATGGCTTCCCTTGGGCCTTACAGGACTCTGATTCCCCGAGGCATTCCACAGCTTCCAACAGTTCCAACCTGAGCAGCCCCCCCAGCCCGGTGTCGCCGCGGAAGACCAAGAGCCTCTCTTTGGAGAGCACGGACCGCGGGACCTGGGACCCGTGAGCCCCTCGGCCCTCACACCAGACCAGAGCCGCTTCACTCTTAGCTGCCCGCCCCCTCCTCTCACTCCCGTCTCCCCCTCCCCCCTTCCTGGACACGCCAGCCTGGCGCAGCGGAGCTGGGGCCAGAGCCCTGCCGGCGTGACGCCCGGGCCCTGGCCCTCCGCGCCACGGCAGCCACCATAAAGGCAGACGTCCACGGAACAGCTTAGATTGATACTGATTTCATTTCATACACTTAGAGTTGCTTTCTATCATATTTTACCCCTCCCCCCAACGGTAGCTTAGGTAGACAGATTACACAAAGTTGTAAGCGCTAAGATAGGGTTAGACAGACTTGGTTTGCGCAGTAGCGTTCCAGTGTAGTCCCCAGACAGCGCACGGGCTCCCCGGCGGGTCCTGGGGCCGCCGCCAGGCTCCGCTGGGCACCCACAGTGCGTGTCGACCTGATCGTTGCCAGTCAGTCCTTATTAACGCAAACAATGCATATTTTACTACAATGCAGAGTTTAAAGTACACAAATGTAGAGGTTAAATACTGAATGTATATAGTGAAAAGAAGCATCTTGTATTCAGTGAAAGATGGATGCATATATAAGAGAGCATTTAATTTAAAGAAGTGTGTTGTTTCTTGTCTGTTTCCCAGCTCAGTAATTTAAAGAGTAGAAAGGCCTCGCGCTGCCGGTGCGGAGGGAGAGCGAGAGGAATCAGGGTTCCCTTTAGTGCTGCGTCCTCGCGCTGGGAGCGGTCGGAAAACGTACAGACTTCGGCTTCATGGGGTTGGCGTGCGACCCGGGCACCAAACTTGTAACATTTGAAGCCTCTTCAGCAGCATCATCAAAAGGCAGATTTCCTTCTATCCAGGACCTTTTTTCCCTAGTAGAATTGAGCCACACTTCTCATGTTTGATATTGTGGTACCTTCTGCAGATGGATGTAGGAATGCAGTTTTGTCACCTTCTGATCCCTTCCATCTGACACAGGGACGGCGGTGGCTTCTGAAGGGCCGTGAGAGGGTCACAGGGGTGCTTGTTCTTTCTGGGCTAATCCCGTCCCTCCTGAGTGGCAGTGAGGTGTCTCCCCCAGCTGGGCCGGCTTCTCAGGGAGGAGTCTGTTTTGAGTGTGGTGCCAGCTTCCTCAGATAAGCCTGGGAAAGGGGTTTAATTACCAAATAATAGAAAACCTCAGATGCAAGGACTTGAACAGCCTTAACCAAATATTCTCTCCCACACCCAGCGGGTAACGAAGTGCTCCCAGGGCACGGGCAGGAAGTGCGCCCCGCGTGGGCAGCTTGCCACCTTGACCGGATGAGTTTTCCCCCTCGTTTGCTACATTGTGTTGTTAGTCATATTTCCGTTTGAACCCCTGCTGTTTTAATTACCACGAGGAAATGAGATGCAGAACCAGGACTTTTTTCTTCCGGTCATTTCACCAGTTAAGCACATAAGTAAAGAAAGAGATAGAAATAAACGTATCTCATGGAAGTAACGCGAATTCTCCTCTTTTTCTTTTTATCTAAATTTGAGCACTAGAAACAGGGTTTTTTCCTCTCTCCTCCGAACTTCAGCTCGAGTGGGAGAGCTGTGGGTGGGGCGCTGCCGCCCGCCCTGAGTCCTCGCGGGGCCGAGCCGGGTCCAAGCTGATGCTGCTCGGTGGGGAGGCCCCTGACGCTCAGGGACGGAAGAACGGATCCTGTTTGGGGATTATATTGCAAAAGGTTACTGTAGAGCAGTTAAAAATAATGTCAAGCTTTGACATTTAGACGCTCTGGGCCAGGCACTCGCTCAGATGTGACCGTTGCGCTGCGGGTGGGCCTGACTGACTGCAGTTCTCGTCTCCTGAACCCTTGGCTTTGGGAGAAGAAGTGTCATACAAGACTGTTTTGTGCCCCCGGCATCCAGGGTTGGGCCTCGAGCTGGGCTGTTGCCGTGTGGCTCTGGTAGCTCCTTACACTTGGCGTTTCCCAGGAGAGGGGGGAGCCGCCGCCTGCCAGGGGCCGAGCGCCTGGCCGGCTGCCCCTCTCCTGCCGACCCGCCCATTCCCCTTCCCTCCTCCTCCCGCTTCCCTTCACGAGGACTCCTGGGTCTCTGTGCTAAGTCATTATTTATCTCTGGCAACTAAGTGAATTTATTGCCTGTAGGTGCTTGCTTTTTAATGGATGCTTTTAGGATCAACTATAACCCTGCCTGACGTCCGGACTCCACTACAGTGAGCCGGACCCTTCAGCCGCCCAACAGGGCAGGGAGAGCGAGCCTGCTCCGGCTGCTGGGCCCCAGGGCGGCACTTCCACGTTGGCCCAGTGGGGGCAGCCCAGCCTCCGGGGTTTTCCGTCACCATCGTCAGTGGTCTTACTGGTCCCAGGAGAGCAGTCCCAGATATGGGTAGGTTCTAACAGCAGGGCTCGGGAAGAAAGCCCGACAGGGGTAACAGTTCCAGGGGTTCCCAAGGGAACGGCCATCCTGCTGGCCTTATCCCCAGCATGAAGCAGGCACCGTCAGGGGCTTCTGGGAAGAATGACTTGAGAAGGTGGGGACGAGTGCCAGGGAACAGGAACCGGTGACCATCTGAAGCGGCAGCAGCCGTGGCGCAGGCTTCTGTGCTGAGGTCAGCCCTTGTTTTGTGGAGAACGTTTTAAGAACGTCTGTGGCAGCAGGAACTCAGTTCTCAGCAGAAAGGAAAAATAAATGAGATTTCTGACATAGTCCGTGTTGGTACTTGGTGCTATCTACGTCCAGCCAATTTGTTGTCGACCCTTGAATTCTGATTAATTTAATCTTGTCGTGTGCTTTGGGTGTATGAAGTTATATATATATATACACACATATATATTTTCTTTTTACCAAAAACGGAAGCCTGCCTTCTTATCAAATGGTTATTAAAGTATATTTTATTTCTTTAATTATGTGTATACACACACACCCTCCTAGCTTAGTGATTTGTTTTCCCAGGGAGCACAGTTGTAAGGCTAACGAGCTACAACTAAAAAGGTCCATCTCGAGTTTCCCAGTCAGTTCTCGTACCCAAGCTTCAGGGAAGAATCTGAAATTCCTATTATGTTTACAGCCACAATCTGTCATTCCCCGGTTGGCTCTCAGCCTTCCTCTGCTTCCCCTATCATTAGAATCCTGTCTTTCTGTTACCTAGCAGCCACATCTACGTCTGTGAAAGACCCGCTGGCACTGGTATGGTCTCAGGTATCGTAGAGAAAAGCCAGAGCAGGGCCAGGTGGACACCCCAAAGCCCCACGTACAGCGGGGCCTGCCTTCGGCAGTGACCACACACTGTGGTCCCAGCTGCACGGGGCCTTGGGACGTCACCGTCCGCTTTCTGGACAGAGTGGCGCGCTCGGCAGCAGTCAGACTTTGCCACTGTCCAGTTCCACGGGGCACAACAGGGAAATAAGGGGCACTTCGCTCACCACCTCCCCAGGCCCAGCCCCTCACAGCATTTCCGAGAGCTCCTCTCTGAAACCTCTTTCCTTATCGTGACCTCAGTTGTCACTCAAGCCCAGTGTGCAAGTCCGGAGCTCTGTCCCCCAGGTCAGCACTGGCAGGCAGGCCGGGTTCTCATCCTTCCCAGGGACAGCCATGGCACACAAACTGTCCCCGTTCAGGGGGGCGGGGGGCTGGACTAACAAAAGCAAATCAACCCTGAAATTTCATGAAAACAAAGTGACCTGCCTTTTTATTTCATAGTGTAATAATATCATTTGTTTCATAAATTTTTTAGGGTCTTTTCTCATTGTAATATTATTGTACAGTTTTGCATGGCCTAGGTGTAATCATTTTTTTGTTTAGAGTAATAATGCTGACAAATAATGTGCGTATGGAAGGGGAAAAGATACTGCTTTGGCCTTTGATCACTTCCTCATTTCATTTTGTTTGGTTTTCTGCCCTCAGTGTCTTAGGGAAGTTTATAAGAGATTCTCTGCTACCAAACAGTGGTGTGGATTCTTTTGCACAGAGATATTTAAGGTGGGATAGTAAAAAATGTAACAAAAGACTCCTCGCCAATATTTTATGTCGGTATCAATATTAACCGGACTTTGATGTATTGCAATAAAACAGGGAACTGTTAGAATTGAGTATTTTGTCTTTTTTTTTCCTGATTAAAAAGTCTGAGGAATGGAGAGAAGGTGACTGACTCTTTCGTCTTGTAGGCTCTGCTTCCCGCCGGTCCCCTCCTTGACCAGGCTTCTCCTTACCCTGCAGAAGGACACAGGGTTAGTTTAATCCAGGGCTTGCTTAGTTCCTTCCGTAGCTCAGGTAAGAATCGTGGTCAGTTCTTTTGAAGCTTCCAACTCCTCTCTTCTGGTCAAAACTGCCTACAGCCTGTATCAGTTGACATGGCCAGGTTGCTTCCACATCTTCGCTATTACTAGTAACGCTGCAATGAACATTGGGTGTATATAGCTTTTCAAATTAGTGTTTTGGATTTCTTTGAATAAATACCCCTCTATTTTTAATTTTTTTGAGCAGTCTTCATACTGTTTTCCATAGTGGCTGCACCAATTTACAAGGCCACCAACAGTTTATGAAGGTCTCCCTTTCTCTGCATCCTCACCAACACTTGTTTTTTGATTTATCGATGAGAGCTATTCTGACAGGTGTGAGGTGTTATCTCGTCATTTTAATTTGCATTTCCTGATGATTAGTGAGGGTGAACATCTTTTCATATGTTTATTGGCAATCTATGTCCTTTTTGGAGAAGTGTCTATTCAGGTCCTCTGCATCTTTAATTGATTTTTTTTTTTTTTTTTTTTTTTTAGTGTTAAATTGTACAAGTTCCTTATATATTTTGGACATTTAACCCCTTATCAGACATATCATTGGTGAATATCTTCTCCCATTCTTTTTGTTTGTTATCTTTTTTGTAGGTTTTTTGTATTTTGTAGGTTATCTTTTTGTTTTGTTAATGGTTTTCTTCACTGTACAAAAACTTTTTAGCTTGATATAGTCCAATTTGTTTATTTTTCTTGTTTCCCTTGCCCAAGGAGACATATCCAAAAAGATATTGCTAAGAGTGATGTCAGAGTTAACTGCTATGTTTTCTTCTAGGAGTTTTATGGTTTCAAGTCTAAGTCTTTAATCTGTTTTCACTGTATTTTTATATGTGGTATAAGGAGGTGCTCCACTTTAATTTTTTTTTTTTTGCATGTATCTATCCTGTTTTCCCGGCACCACTTATTGAAACTACTAGCTTTTCCTCACAGTATATGCTTGTCTCCTTTTTTGTAGATTAACTGTATAAACAAGGATTTATTTCTAGGCTCTATTCTATTCCATTAATCTGTATGTTTTTATGCCAGTACCATACTGTTTTGGATAATGTAGCTTTATAGTATAGTTTGATATCAAGGCACGTGGTACTCCCAGTTCTCAAAATTTCTTTGGCTATTTGGGATCTTTTGTGGTTCCATATAAATTTTAGGATTAGTTGTTCTAATGCTATTAGTATTTCAATAAATATTGCATTGAATCTGTAGATTGCTTTAGGTAATAAGGACATTTTAATGATGTTAAGTCTTCTAATCCATGAGCACAGTATATGCTTCCATTTATTTTTATCTTCAGTTTTCTTTGGTGTCTTAGTTTTCAGAGTACACATTTTTCACCTCTTTGGCTAAATTTTTTGGAAGGTATTTTGTGTTTTTTTTTTATTTTTAAAATATTTACATGTCTTAAAATATCTTTTTTCCTCTACAATATTTTGTGCTTTTTGTTGCAACTGTAAATGGGATTGTTTTCTTAATTTCTCTTTCTGATAATTAATTGCAATTAATTTTGTATCCTGAATTTATTTTTCAGTTCTAATAGCTTTTTAGTGAAATCTTGAGGGTTTTCTCTTTTTGTATCTTATGATCATCAAGGATATTAGCCTGTAATTTTTTTATTGTAATGTCTTTGGTTTTGGTATAGAGGTAATATTGGCTTTGTGGAACAAGTTTGGAAGAATTCCTTCCTCTTTGGTTTTTTAAAAAATAACTTAAAAAGCATAAGTATTTAATTGTTTGGTAGAATTCACCTGTGAAGCCACCTGGTCCTGGACTTTCATTTATTGGGAGTTTTTTTTATTATTATTACTGCTTCAACTTCACTACGAGCAATTGATCTGTTTAGATTTTGTATTTTTCCTAGTTCAGTCTTGTAAGGTCATAAATTTTCTAGAAATTTTTCCATTTCTTCTAGATTGTTAAATGTGTTGGCATATAATTGTTCATAGTATTCTTTAATGGCCCCTTGTACTTTGGTGGTGCTGGTTGTAATTTTTCTTTATGATTGCACTTGGGCCTTTTTTTCCCCCTTGATGAGTTTGGCTAAAGGTTTGTCAATTGTATTTATCTTTCAAAGAACCAGCTGTTTTATTGATTTTTTTTTCCTATTGTTTTTTAGTTTCTACTCTATTTCTGCTTCGATCTTAACTATTTATTTTGGGGTTCTTTTTATTCTAATTCCTTTCGGTGCAGAGTTACATGTATATTTATTTGTGATATTTCTTGTGTCCTGAGGTAGGCCTCTGTAACTGAAATTTCCTCTTTGAACTAAATACTTTTTCGGCATCCCATACATTTTGAAAAGTTGCATTTCCATTTGACTCAAGGTACTTTTCAATTTCCTGTTTGATTTCCTCTTTGATCCTAATTGGTTGTTTAGGAACATGTTATGTAGTCTCACATATTTGTGGGTTCTTTCCAGTTTTCTTCCTGTAATTGATTTCTAGTTTCATGCCTCTATGGTTGGAAAAGATACTTGATATGACTTCAGTCTTCTTGAATTCATTGGAACTTGTTTTTTGGCCTAGTATGTGATCTGTTCTGGAGAATGTTCCATGTGCAAAAAAAATGTGTGTTCTGCAGTTTCTGGATGACGTGTTCTGACAAGGAATCGGCGAACCCTGCTGGGGCAGCGGCCATCAGGGAGACCACCCAGACCACGCCGTCCTGCCCCAAGCCCTGGTGTCTGCTGCTCATCAATGCAAAAATGCAGAAGGATTTTCCTTAGGAATCTTTGAAACCTATGTGAGAATCTATTTTTGGACCAGTACGGTCCCTGCATGTTATTTTACCCCTTGAGGAACTTGCAGGGCGTTCCAGGTTTGTTTGAAGGGCGTCTACTGAATATTCAGAATGCACCCATTACCAACCTAGGAACTCAGTCACGCGGGAAAAGCCGCTTTTCGGGAAGTCTTGCTCAGCTGACCTCTTAAAGTGGGTTGCACTGCAGCTGTGGCCAGCGCTGACCCGCTAGCAGTTGACCCAGCATTGCTGAGCTACAGCCTGGACGAGCTGTGGCTTTTCTGTACTTGCGGGACAGGGCCCTGGAGGTGGCGAGGGAGTTGCAGGGTGGAGAGGCGAGCTGTCCCTCCGCCCGTCCTTCCTCTGCCCCACACCGCTCTTTCTCTGAAGAGGAATGTAGGCTCAGCCTTCCAGGTTCAGGCCCTGGCCCCAGAGGCCTCACGCTGGGGACCTGTCAGACCTTCCGGGAGCATCTCGAGGTGGGATGGGATGTGCCACTGGCCTTGGACCCCTCACCGCCCGCTCAGAGCCCTTTACGAATGAGAGGATCAATGCCACGATGGTAGGATGTTTTGTTTTTATTGAAACAAGTAAATCAGACAATTACAAGAATTTTACAAAAATAACAGCCTGTGCGGACCCTCACGTCTAACCAGGTGACATTGCACATTCATATCCTTCCACAAAGGCTCCACACACCGTCTCCTAGCAGGCGCCGGGGACAAGAGCTGGCACTCCCCGCGCCTCCGTGGCTCCTGACCCTGCCCACGGGGAGAGGGGCAGCACTTCCCATAAGGTGCGGCAGCCAGCCAGCCAGCAGGCGTGGGCCCCGCCGGGTTAGTCAGTACTTGTGGGCACTGCTCAGATCTGACTTCTCCCAGCTGCAGGTCACAAGCTGGAGAGGAAATGGGCAGAAAACACAAATCTCATTCTAGAAACATACACACACGTACAAACCTTGTATACTTGTTCAATAGCATCCAAAAAGGCGTCTCTGTTGTTTTTTTGGTGGCAGTAGTCTCCCATCTTCTGGTTAACATTCACATTAGGAAAAACCCCTGTTACTAAAAGGAAAAGGGAGTGAAACTGCCTTTTTATCTTCCATTAGAGTATTTCAGAGGATGAACAAACTGTTAGATTCTGACAGAGAAGGTGGGGGCTCGTTTTCATTCCGGCACATCTCGCCCCACATCCTTTTGGCGATAAGAACCGTGGTAAGCGCTGGTAACGGGGCTCCGAGCAGCACCCCCGCCCCATTGGAGCCAGCCTCCCTCTCTCCTTGGGCAAAGGAGTTTAAACGGAGCACCACCGCCACCGGCTTCCTACTAGTTTGAACTGCAGGAGAGCAGAGAGTTTGCGCTGGCGGCTACTGCTCGGCCCGCCTCTTGCAGTAGTTGTTGTAGGCCTCCTCGAACATGGCCTTACAGGGGAACTTGGCCTTCAGCTTGGAGCAGATGAGGAAGGAGCCCCCCATCTTCCTGTGCAGCGAGTAGGTCTCCTCAGGTGGCGGGATGAGCCGGTGCTTGAGCATGATGGGAATCAGGTTGTGGATCTTCTCGGTGGTGCTCTGGGTGCCAAAGTCAAAGGGCTCCTCCGAGGCAAAGGCCTCCCCCAGGATGAGGATGGCGTCCAGGTGGGCATCTTCCATGGCCTGGAGGTGGAGAGGTGGGATTGGCCCTGAGCGCACCCCGAAAGCTTGGTTTACAGTTGAGGAGAGGGTCAGGTAGGCGAGGGTTTTGTTTTCAACTAGACTGAATAATGATTAACTGGAGCTACGCTCAGACCAACAGGGGCCAGGGAGACGGCACTGATATGTGGACTGGGCTCCACGTGAGACCAAAGGAACCGCGAGCCCAGCCTGGAGGCACTGGGGTCCAAAGTCTGTACAAAACCCAGTCCAGGGTGCTGCGGTGGGGCCGCAGGCCAGCCTGGGCTCCCTTGACCCTCCCCACTGTCCAGGAGAGGGCTGCTTTCTGAGCGGCCTCTGGGTGGCAGGAGCACCGCCTGCGGGCCCTGTCTGCAGGCAGTCGCTCAGATTCCGTGCAGCGCTCTCCTCGCCCTTCCCAGCGAGGCCTTAGGAACTGAGGGCTTTGCCATCCCACCTGCCCTCAGCCAAGCCCCGAAGCCCAGCATGACTGACGTAAATCTAGTGGCGAGAGCAAGCAAAAATGAGCTTTGTGACAAGTCCCTTTGATGGCCCCTAAGCCCTGCCACCCAGAGAACCTCAAGTGCTGGGGAGGGCCCAGTTTCCAGATGCCAAGATGGCCCAGGACTCTGTAGAGACCCTTCAAGGTTGCTGTCGCCTCTGATATCATCCATTTATAAACTGAGGTTCTGCTTGGGAATTGAGAGGAAATAGGAGTCCACTGCACACACACTCGGAAGGCAGCCCTCCCAGCAGACGGCCCCTCAGGCCAGACCCCCCTGGAAGCTGTGCCTGGAGCAACAGGCCGGGGACTCACGTCCCCCGGGCTCACCTTGACCTCGTAGCCGGTGAGGAACTTCATCTCTATGGACTTCTTCAGCACGGCCTCCCTGTCCTTGTCGGCGGCAGCCCTGATGATCTGGTTGGAGCACCGCGGGCAGAACGGGGAGGAGCTGCTGAGGGCCAGGAGCCTCCGCCTGGCCCTCTCCCCACAAGGGCTGCTGACCCCGCTGCCTCACTGGTCCTCCCAGGCCCCCGGCCTGGAGGGCCTGGCCAGGGCCTCACCCACCATCACCATCTTGAGGCCAGGTAGGGACACGGGGTAGCAGCCCGGTCAGCCGCCCGCCCTCACGCTCCCCTTGCGTCCTGCCCTGGCCTCATGACGGCATGGGCCAAGGCCGGCCCTGGCCCCTACCTCAATGTAGACGTCGGTGAAGGACCTGTCAAACTCCCGCGTCGCTCCGAAGTCCAGGAGAGCAACCTGGGAGCGGTGACACCAAGGGGAGGCTTGCACAGGAGCTGAGACGCTCGGGGCTCAGAGCCCCCGCCCCAGCAGAGCACTCCGGCCCCTGTGCCTGCACCGCCCTGGGGCTCACCTTGTGCTGCTGAGGATCGTAAAAGAAGTTGGACCAGTTGGGGTCTGTCTGCATGAAGTGGAACTCGAACAGCTCCCTCAGGCACAGGACCAGGATGTTGTAGCAGATCTGGGAAGGTGGGGGGGCCCGGTGACCCGAGAGTTTGTGGCTGGGGACGCCTGACTCCCATTTCCCCCCACATCTCCCACCCGGCCCCACCTTCTGCCCAGAGGACATGTGATTCCAAGGGCACCGCCTGGGGCAGGGGCAGCACAGCAGGCCCCTTGGCCCCTCCAGCCACACAGGGAGTGGCCGGAGGCCCCGTGGCAGTGAGCAGCAGACGCACCTCGTTGCGGATCTCCTGGCTCAGATCCTCCGCCTGGTCCAGGGGGAAGCCAGACACCAGCTCCGTGGTGAGCACGTGGGGGCTGCAGAGCTCATCCACGATCTCCGGCACGTAGAAGAAGGGGTGGTCCTTCAGGAGCTCCCTGGTGGGGGCGGGAGATCACACCCAGGCAGGGCTCCTCCCCCGCCCACCCCGGGGATGGCACGTGGAGCAGCAAGGGGCTGAGCCCACCAAATGGATGGGTGGGATGTGGCTATGGCCCCAAGCTCCAGCCAGAGCCATCGGCCCCTGGGGACCCCTCCTCCCGTCCTGCAAGGACCACCTAAAGACTGTCCGTCCGTCTCCCACTGGGGGAAGCAACAGGCAAGGGGCCCGAAGCCCAGCTGCCCAGCACTGAAGCCCAGCCGGGAGCTGCACCTGAACTTCCTGGCACAGGCGGCCTCTCGCTGATAGTCGCACTCAAGTGCCAGCTCCCGCCTCAGCACATCGATCAGGTGCTCAGGGAACAGGCCTGGACCGGGGAGGGGGGTTTCAGGGTAGGCGGTGGGCTCCCCCAGGAGGCCCCCCCGGGTGTCCAGAACCCATCCCAAATGCCTGCCGTTGACCAAGAGCCAGTCTCAGACCTTCTGGAAGCATGTTGCTCATGTTCAGCACGGCCATGAGGTTGTTGACGTCACTGTTGATGCTCTGGGCCACGCCAGGGTACTGTAGGGGGAGCGGAAGGGGTGTCCTGGGTGGGCAGAGCAAGGGCCATGCGGGGTGTCCCCGACTCCTCGCCACCTGTGAGCTCCTCAGGAGTGTCCCACCAGGACCCCACACCTTGGGTGAGTCACAGCTATCTACCTCTGCCACCCACTGAAGGCCCCAGCCCTCCAGCTCAGGCCCAAAGGAGACAATTATTGTCCCTTGTCCTCGCCCCACCCAAACCAAGCTTGCTGGGAGGCTGTTCCACTCCCGCAGCCAGCCGCTTGGCACATGCTGTCTCGGCACCCGGAGCTGGCGTGCTGGGGCCAGAATGGTGACACGGGCCCCCGCACTACAGGTCCCGGCTCTGCCCTCGCTGCCCCTGGGGGGTTAAGCGCGCACACTGGGCACCTACCTGGATCTTCATGGCCACCTCGCGCCCGCCCTTCATTCGGGCCAGGTGCACCTGCCCGATGGAGGCAGCTGCGAAGGGCCGCTCCTCAAAGTACTCCAGCTTGTCACGCCAGTTGGGGCCCAGGTCATTGTTGAGAGTTTTCTGGAGGGAGAGGCCAGGGAGGGGCGGTAAGCATAGCCCAGCCAAGTGGGACACCCTGAGTAGCACCCACAGCCCCCCCATGCAAGGAGAGGAAGTGACAGGAGGACCCAGACGCCCCCGGGTGCCGCCTGCCTCACCGTCATCTGTTTCAGTGGCATGAAGTCTGCACTCTGCCGCACCCGCTCGAAGATCTTGGCCAGGTGGGGGTTGATGAAAGCATCATCTGGAAGGACCCGGGAAGTCAGAGCGGAGGGCCGACCCCTGAGAGGGAGGGGGCGCTGGCCGGGGACCGAGTGGCCCTCGCGCACCCTGCCGCAGTGCGGTCTCCTGGGAGGTGCTGCCCTGCCCTGCCACATGCTGGGACCTCAGGTGCAGAGACAACACAACGCAGGCTGTATGCCACACCATAGGCCTGCCCTCAGATTCCTCCTTGCACCCTGGCAGCGTGTTCCCGCCTGGCACACGGGTGGGCAAAAGCTCCAGGCGGACACAGGATGTTGGCCCGCACGCTCCCGGGGCATGGAGACCAACCGCCACATCTGGAGCCGGCCGCACCCAGCCCTCCCACCAGGGCACCGGGCGGACCTGTGCGACCCAGGCCCTGGCATCAGAAATAACAGGCAAAGCTTTTCACAATGATAACAAATTTAGGAAATAAAGTACAGTCAAATGTTAAAAATACCCATATCTGACCACTTGAAGAGAACTTTTTCTTTCTGACCCTTTTTCTGTTTTTTCACGACAGGAGTCGCACTGCCTGGAGGCTGCTCCGGCCTGCTCTCAGGCGCCGCCTCTCCCAAGTGCACGCTCGGCCGTCACGCAGTTTTGACATTTTCTGAAAGGGCACTGTCCCTGGGAGCCTAACATCCCCCACCGAAGCCCCTTCACGCAATCAGCCAGCCCACCTGCCGCTTACATCAGCTCCTATTAACAGTCACACCCCAAATAACGACGTTTCAAGAGAGGACCCCACAAAACCGTGAGATTATAATAGAGCTAAAAAGCCCTTCCACGTAGTGACATCTCAGCCCGCACAACCTGGTGGCACAGCGCCTTATCCACATGCGGGGGGTGACAATGCCGCTGCAAACACGCCAGTTGGGTGAGAGTACAGCACGCCATACCTAACGATGAACAACTGGTGCTGTTTGTGTTTACTGTTCTTTTCATTGCTACTACAGAGTGAACTCTCGATACTTATTTTTTAAAGTTTGCTCTAAAACAGTACACTGGCCCTGGCTGGGTAGCTCAATTGGTTAGAGCGTCGTCCCAATATGCTAAGGTTGCAGGTTCGATCCTTGGTCAGGACAGGGATCAGTAAATCGATGTTTTTCTCTCTAAAATCAATAAAACTTTAAAAATAAAACAGTACACCAGCAGCAGGCCCACGCATGTCACGCTTGCACCTCCCGATGGCGCCACTTTTACTCTCGTGCAGTGCGAGAACAGGCTGCACCTCACAGCCCGGTGTGAAGCGGCGGCGCCATCCCGGTTTGTGTGAGAGCACACTGTGCTGTTTGCACAATGACACTGCCTAACGATGCATTTCTCAGGACACATCCCAGTCATTAGGTGACACAGGACTGAACTGGCGATTGCCATTAAGTCCTGCGATAGAGCTCCTCCTGCACGGGGCCTTGGCCACATCTCTGAGGCTACCCTTAGGTTAGGCCACTAGACGTGGAACTCCTGGAGCCCAAGGTTCGTGCACTGAAAAACTCATCTGCGAACTCAGCGTCTGCACAACCACAGGCGACGCCCGAGCCCATCCGCCTGCCCCTGATGGCAGCTCCTGCCTTACACTTGGCCGACTCACTGAGCACTCTAACCGGTGAGGGGCCTCGCTGGAAGCCCTGAGGCTCCCCCAATCCTGCCTCTGCTCTTGGGGCACAGAGCCAGCCTCCTGTGCAGCCACAAGTCCCTTGTCCCCCACATCACACTGGCAGGCCTCCGAGCCCCCTTCCAGCTCCCTCCAGCCAACCCTGCGGGGTGCGGGGCAACAGCTGCCAGGCTCGCCACCTTCTGAGATGCCAGGAGAGCCTCTACATACCTCAAAACACCCAGAAAGAAAAGTGACAGTGGGCTCCTGTTTAAGGCACATCATAAACATCCCAGGCTGATCACCAGCCAGGAGTCAAGAGGAGCCAGTGGGCAGAAAGAGCCCCTCCCAGCACCTCCCAGAGCCTGCCCACGGGCGGGGGCCCCACTCACCCTGGATGCTCAGCATCTGGCCCAGCTTGAGCGCCGCCCCGCGCACCTTGCACAGCGTGCTCACGATGCGCTCCGCGTTGGCCTCCGACAGGAAGGGGCTGGAGTCCAGGACGCCCTTCTTACCCCCTGTGGGCAGAAGCCAGGTCACCACAGCACCCACCCCCTCCTCTGTGTGCCTGCTGACCTCCCCCAAGTGGCAAGAGGATGAGGCAGGCAGGGCTTGAAAGTGGCCTCTGTGGCCCCCGAGGCCTTGAGGGGACAGGGCCGGAGCACCCTGGTTGCAGTCCCTTCCTCTCTGGGGCTTAGGGCACCTGAGCGCAGCCCAGGCCAGCCCACCCCACCCCACCTGCAATACTGTGTGCACCTTGGCAAACCAGTCTTCCCTGATCCTCCTGGGTAAATACAGGGACAATACCATGGGGGAGGAGGCATTTTAAGTGCAATTCAGAAAAGCCCAACACAGCCTGAGGGCTCCGTCCCATCCCTCTGAGCCCCAGGTCCTGTGGTTCCTGGGCCCCATGACCCGCAGCTACGGTCACTATCTCCCTGACAAAGGATGCCAGCTGTAACCCTGGAGCCACTTTGAGCCTCTTCCCTGCTTGGATGTGGTAGGACAGAGGACAGCCAGGCTTTCCAAAGTGTCCCCTCACCAGCCCTCTCTGTCCTCCGGCCCCTCCCAAAGACACACAAGGTGCCCTGTGCCCCTGTGCTCAGGGACCTGGGGGGCAGGCTAGTGCCTTCTCTCTGAGAGGCCCCTCAGTCCCACAAGAGAGTCCGGCAGGGAAGGGCGGCTGTCCACATGCTGGGCCAGAGCAGAGCGGCCTCCGAGACTCAGCCAGCCGCAGGGGTGCCATTTACCCAGCACACAAGGGGAATGTGCCCCCAGAGGTGGCTGAGGTGGCCCCAGGGGGCTGACGCTCCAGCCCCAGGGCCCACCATGACGTCTCGGTCAAGGGCCCGGCTCACCGGAGGGTTCCTCAGGGCGCAGGGTCTTCTTGGCGACTTCAGCCAGTGCTCCAAAGCCCAGACCCACAGCCAGACCTACAAAGGAGGAGGCAGAGGGCACTAGACATTTGCCCGGGAGCCAGGCTGCGGGCCCCCACCCACAAGCCCCCACACCCACCTCGGCTCCCCAGGGACCTGAGGAGACAAAAAGGCAGGAGACACACATCTGCTGTTTTCAGAGGACTGGCAGGTGCTTTCGGTGAAAAGGCTCCATCTTCCCCCACCCCCAGCACCTCTGCTCCTGCACAGGCTCGTGGGACACACTCACACACACACCCTGGAACCACACACAACAGGGAGGGCCCAGCACAGTGGAGGACGACCAAGGATGGGACACTCGCTTGGCACATGGCCACCCGCTGCGAAGTCTCTGAGAACAGTCTCCAATTCCCTAGAATTCTCTTAGCTCGTGCAACTGGAAGCAAAGGCCACACTACAGTGACATAAGGCAGTCGCTAGAGCGAGCCGGAACATTTTGCAAAAGCAAAGGGTGAGTGTCCCCAGTCCAAGCCAGAGGAACTCACAGGAGCTCAGGCTGCAGCCCTCACTCAGGTACTGCTGGCGGTCTGGGCGCAGGGCACCAGCCCTCCCTTCCCCTCAGCAACCTTCTAAATCCAAGTTCATTGATGCCATTTATCCAGAGGTCAGGCAGCGGATGACGTCAGCTGCCCAGGGAGGCCTGAGGAGCCCAGCAGGTGCCACGGGGCCTCCACAGAGAACCCAGGAGCCTGGCCTGGGGCCCACTATCCCTCTACTTCCTGCACAGCTCTAGCTGGGTGAGGAGGCGAGGGCGGGGCCCTGTGAGCACAGAGAGAATGCGTGGCTGAGCGCACTGCCCTCAGCGGAAGGGACAGCAAGGACCCGGGGAGACACTGAAGGCACCCTGAGGCCAGCGTGGTGGGGGGGCGGTGCGAGGGAGGGGCGAGGGAGCGGCAGCCCCGCCCCCAGAGGGCGTGCACTCCCGCCAGGCGCTCCAATTAGCAGGCAAGGAACCTGCACTCCATCTTTTCGATGTCTGCAGGGATTATATATTACTTTTATAAAAAATAAAGGCTCCTGCCTCGTAAGTCATTGTGAAGATTAAACCAGTGAATAAAAGGAAAGTGCTTCCATTCGGTTCTGACACAAGGTGCTGCTCTAAGAGCGTTTGCTATTATTATCAATCCTATTCAAAACGGCTAGACCAGCGCTGTCCAGAAGGAGCACAAGGCCAGCTACACGCAGGGTCCAGCACAATAGCGCCCCCTTTTCTTATTACAAAATCGTGAGCATGTAATTCTGTAACACAACAATATCACACTCAACACACCATAGGACATTTTAGGTGAAATGTTCAAATTAAAACTATAAATTCCTACCCTGCCAACCACACTCAAGCAGGTGTTAGTTCTGCCAGACCCTGTATATAATTTTAAATTTTCTAGTAGCCACATTTTTAAAAAAGCAAAACACATGTGAAATGAATTCTGATCATATATTTTATTTAACCCAGAATGTCCAAAATATTATTTGAAAAAGTACTCAATATAAATATTAGTAGAGGTGTTTTTTTTTTTCGTCGTTGTTGTTGTTTTTGTACTAAGTCTTCAAAGTCCAGTGTGTATTTTACCCTGAGCATGTCTCAGCTTGGACCAGCCTCATTTCAAGTGCCCCCCACCCCATGTGGCTGGTGGCTTCTGCAGGAGACAGCACAAGGGCACAAAAGGCCAAGCTCTGGCAGCCACAGAAGACGCCACTGTCATCTGGAAATCGCCCTCAGGGCAACCCCGGGGCCCACCAAGGACACCTTGGGGTCCTGGGTTGTAGGTGCCAGGACCTGGTTTCCCTCTGGAGGTCACTGGGCACAGAGCTAGGAGCCTCGTCTCCAATTAAACATTAACTGCCCTGCCCGCCCTGCCCCACCCAGCACGCTATCTGACTTAGGAAAGTAAGTGATAATGTTAACCTTCAAACTCGAGCAAGTTCCACCAATGTCTCTCTGCATCTAGATTTTTCTCTGCCTAAATCAAGTCCAAAGACAAACCCGCAAAAAGCGGCAGATGGCGACAGGGGTCATCCAGCCTCGGGAATAGACACTAGAGCTGTGGGTGGGGGTGGGGGTGGGGGATGGAGGACGGACTCCTCTTTCTGCAGGCAGGGGCACCCCCAGCTCCTCCGGTGGCCCCTGGCACACTGTCCTCTCTAGGCTGCAGGTCAAGTCAAGGCTCTCCAAGGCCCTGCTGCTCAATCACTGAAGGAAAACGCAGCCTGCAGAGGTGGCCTCAGGCTCCTCCCACGGCCCCGACGCTCGCCCAGGCCCCGCCCAGGGTCCGCCCAGGGCCCGCCCAGGCCCCAGCGGCGGAAGCAGCCCGGCCGCCCGGCAGCCCTGACCTTGGCCTGCTGAGCGCCCGCTCCAGCAAACCGAGAAAAAAAACCCGGCTCTCCTGCCACCCCCAACTCGGCCAAGCTGAGAGTCGTTCCCAGGACTTTGCTGGGAGGAAAGGCAGGGCCCAGGTGGGCTCTTCCTCTCTCGGAACTGGGTGGCAAGGGAGGCGAACCCTGGGAGGTCACGCCTCTGCCTCAGATCCGTCACCAGGTCCTGAGAGGACGCCCAGGGGCCCACGGAGACTCGCTCGCCCCCTCTGTCCCCTGTGGCCATCGGCCGCGCTCTCGCCTCTCCGTGTTCTGACCCACGCCCAGGCCTGGCCTGGCCTGGCCACACGGTGCGCGAGGCATCTTGGAGGAAAACCAGCCATGGAGCCCGCTCTGCGGCCCCCACAGCCTGGCCTCCATCCTAGCTTGTGAGGAGGCGCCAGAGCCTTCCAAGAAAGTTCCCGACATTTCCCATTTCCCTCACAGGGGTTTTCAGTCAAGAAATTGGTGGGGGTGGGGCGGGAGCAGGGCTCTCCGCCGGCAGGACCCACTGGGCCAGATTCCCGGGCTGAGGGCCCGCTCGCGGCCCCTGCCCCGCTGAAGTCCCCCTGGAGGGCGTCGGAGCCAAATGCGGCCCTCTCGGGGCGGCCACTGGGCTTCCGCCCAGACGGGCACCGGGGACTAACGGAAAAACAGAACAGCCTCCCAGGTGCAGCGCCGTTCGTGAGGAGGCCTGGGGAAGGCGAGGCAGGGAGCGGTGAGGGACGTCCCCGCAGGCCCCCTGGCCGACAAGGCTCGGGGAGTTTCTGTGCGGCCTCAGGGGCGACGGACGGCTGCGGATGGGACGGCCGCCAGGGCGCTCCCGGCACGCGGGCACCTCGGCCCTCGCTACACCTCACAGCCCCGCCCCGCCCCGTCCGGAGAGCCCGCTCAGGCCAGGCGCCGGGCCAGGACGCGGCCTCGCTCCCGGCCGCTCCCGAGTCCCCGGAACTCCCGGCCGCAGCCGCGTCCTCCGCGCCCCCAGCCCTGGGAGAAGAGGCCGCGGGGCGGGGGTGCAGCCCACAGTGCGGGAGGAAGGGGACCCGGAAGGAGGGCGCCCCCTGCGGCGTGTGCTCTCAGATTCCCCGGAGCCGGCCCTCCGTGCCAGAACGGGGCCGCTGGGGTGGGGGACACCTAACGCGGCCCTGCGCTGGCCGCCGGGGACAGGGCACTTAATTACGGCAGCAGGTCCGACTGACTGCCGTTGGGATCGAGGCCTCCTGGGCTCGCGTCCCAGCCTGGTCACAGACAAGCGCTGGGCCCTGGGCGAGGGGCGACGGTGGCTCAGCTTCTCCTCAGCAACCGGAGACGACAACTGCCCTAACCTCCCTCAGAGCTTTTAAGAGGGAAAAAGAGACACAGAACTTTTTTAAGGTTGCTCCTGAAAAGGCAGAAACTCTGGTCCCACGCCCCTGCTCGAGGCGACAGAAACTCTGCTCCCACACCCCTGCCCGAGGCGAGAAGCTTCTCCTCAGGGAGCCCCCGGGACAGCTCTGGGCTCGGAGTTGGGGGGCGGGGAGAAGCGCGCACAGCTGCGCCCTCAGGCATCAGGCGATGAAGCGGTGTCACGACGCCCCCCTCGCCCTCCACCCCGCCCACGAGGGGAGGCCAGAGGAAAGTCGGCCTCGGACACAGCCCCGGTCCACCCCGGGAGCTCTTGTCACCCACAACCCCAATGAAAATCAACTGCCCTGTCGGCCAGTGTTTGTGGGAGGACGCAAAAGCCCAGCGGGAGGGGCACGGTGACCCCAGAGAGCTTTGTTGCTAACGTAGCAACAAGTACACCCAGGTGGACCAAAATCGTCGGAAAATTAAGCAGCAATAGCAAGCAGCTTTGCATTTCAACCTAAGCGACGCCTGTCTTCCAACATAAGAGGAAACAGTCTTATGTTACTTGTCTCATAAACTAGTTTTTAAAGTAAAGCATTTTTCTGGAAGTGAGGGTCTCTAACCCTTTAATCTTTTAAAAATAAGATTCCCGGCGGTCAAGTCCCTCTACGCTTCATTCCTGACCCCTTATTTCCTTATTAGCCTCTGATTTAAGCATCGTATTTCAAAGTCCTTTCTAAATAGAATCTAAGTATCCCGTCCCTTCCTCCTCTTTGCCCGTGTCCCCCCTGCCGACCTGTGTCCCCCACTCCGCACCCTCCGCCCTCTGCCTTACTGACCGGGATTGGCGCTTCCCGGCTGAAGGAAACGAGCAGCCACCGCCGGGCCGCGCACAAAGCGTGCTGGCCGGCCTTCAGAAGCTTCCTACAAAGCCCCCCTCACCTGCGAAAGCCTCACTTCCACAGCCATCCCGCTCTCCCCCCGTTTAGAGGTGCAGAGGAGACCAGATAAAGCACAGAGAGGATGGGACATAGAGAAAGGAGTAGAGGAGACACAGGAAGAGAGGGAAAAGACCTATCGTGTGCGTACCTGGAGTCCCAGAAGGGGAGGAGAGAGAACAGGGCAGAGCAGTATTTGTAGAAACGACCAGCCTAAAGCCTGTTGGTCTACACCTCAGATACATCTCACCCTCATGAGGGGAAGACAAAGCAACACAAAAGGCAGGTAGACACCCGATCATGAGCGGTCGTGACCACTCAGCACTGGCAGCATCATGAACGGATCAGCCCTCTCTTACGCACAGCCTTGCGAATAACTTCTTGCCCAAGGCTCCTCCGTGAATCGAGTTCATTAACTGTATTGCCTGGAGAACCTACTGAGGACAGCTGCTCTTTAGAGAAATGTGCTCACAGTCACCCTGCCTAAAAGCACGTACCATCACAAAGGACATGATGCTTTCAACGGGAACGTCTTGGTCCATAAATAAGCAATAGAGGTGATAACACAATGTCATAAAGGCAGGTACAGCTGCTGTAAACCTTCACTCCAAAATGATCCTTCAACTCTGATAAAAGCACAGCTATGCTGGGCACAACGGCTATTCAGACCCCCCCTCCCAAAAAAAAGGACAAATGAAGCCCATGACTCTAAAGCATCTTAGAGTGGACTTTAAATGGTAGCTGTAGCTCAGGGCCTCAGCACCCCAATATCATTGCTGATGCCCCACAAGCCTGTGGGAATCCAGCAAATGGGTCCCCAAATGGCTGGTCCCAGGGGCAAAACCCATTCCGTCTAGGAGCCAAATGGGCCCAGAGAGGAACTTCTACTCCCTACCCGGCCTCCTTCCCACAGAGGCCTCCACAGGGGCTGAGCAGTGGGGAGGCTGAGGAAGGAGGAGAAGCTGATACTGCAGACACCGCCCCTCAAGTGTGGCCTGAGAAGCAAAGCTGCGGCTTGCAGCATGGCATTGGCCACGCCAACCCCCAGGCGCGAGCTGAGGCAGAGTGGAATCCAGTAACTGGATCACGCTCTGTGGGAAACGCCCAGGGACCACCACCATACTCCCAGGACTCCCATGGGCCCGCCCTCTTCCTCCTCCAGGCCAGCCCCAGGGCGCCGCCCCCCCCCCCCCACCCACCACTCAGCCAGGACTGGCATGCCGCAGCAGGTGAGATGGCACAAGGGCTCACTGCCAGAGCCTTACCTCCGAAGTTGGCCAGTCGCCCAATCCGGGTAACTGGCACCTTCCGCTCTCGAGCCCGTTCACTGAGCTAGAGGGAGAAGAAAAAGAGACCTCAGGGAAATTGGCTAAGGGGGACAAGACCAGCCTTCAGGGTTCATGTGGCCCCACACCTCCTCCCCACCAGAGGCAGCAGCGCTGCCTGGCAGGACACTCCAACGAGAAGAGGCCTCCGTGTTTCCAAAGCCCCCAGACCTCACCCCCCCGGGCGGCTGACGCCAGCACCACTGTGAGAGCCACCCGGCGGGGCCACCCTGGGGGCCTCCAGCGCGTGCGCACCATCTGCTTGTGGGGCTTGCTCTCAGGGCGAGCCTTGGCCTGCCGGGCCTTCTCGATGTCCTCGGCCGTGAGACCCCCAACGGGAGACTGGTCCTGGTGGAAGAACCTTCGCTGGAGGCCAGTGGCAGAGAAAGGGTCTCTGGTGTCTACGAAGAGCCTCCCGTTCACCCTGCCCAGAGGGGAGGCAGCCTGGCCTGGGAGCCCCGCTTCCCTAAAGGGTCCGCTGCCAACGTAGGTGGAGGCTGGGCCCTTGCTGCCGGCGTGATCCTGGGGTGGGGACGAGGACTGGTCTTGGAAGGAGGCTGCAGAGAAATCTGCAGCGGCGCCCTCGGCCCTCGGCCCTGAGAAGTGCAGCTCCGGTTCTGCTTCGTCAAAGCTCTCAGCAACGTAAGGCTCCTCATGCTTCTGATCCTGCGGGGAACAAGAACTGACGTGGGAGGAGCAAGGGGCCAGCCAGGCGTGCCCCCCTGTCCGCCCCCTCTGTACAAGACAGCACACTGCTGCTGTCCTGCCCGCCAGCCCCCACTCAGGGAACAGCACGTTACTCCCAGGGCCTGCGGTCAGTTCCGGAGGCGAGCAGCACCTCCCCGCCCAGGTGCCAGGAGCCCTGGGGTCCAGTGTTGCTTCTGCCAAGGCTCCACTGCATGGTCCCACCACAGTCTCAGAACCTGCTGGGCGCCCAGCAGGGACCAGGCAAGTGAGCACCACCCCCAGCAAGTTCCTCACCTATTAATCAGGGCTCAGGACAAGCCCCAAGGGCTTTGGGGAGGGTAAATCAGGGCAAAGGCAGGAGACTTCTGAGAAGTCAAGCATGACCACGGACCCACGAGGGCCAGGGCAGCAGGCAGATGGCACTCTGCGCCACTGCAGGCCCGCGCCTCCCGCAGAGAGTGCCCCCAGTCGGCGGCGAGCCCTTTAGGGGTTCCCACTGGACAGCATGCCACAGTCAGGCGTGGCCTGGCATCGTTGGGAGTCGGGGACACATGTCTTCCTGCTGACGGTTGTCAAGACCTGACCTTCATGCCCAGGCTTTTCCACTTTTGAGCCCTGACTGACCTTGAGTGAGGTCCTGGCCTTCTCTGCTACTTCCTCATCTGAAAATTGGACTCCTCACAGTCACAGAGTTATGTGGGGACCACAGACAGGGCCAGGGGAACCGTGCCCAGGAGGCGATCATTGGAACAGCGCTGACTCCTGGAGGGAGGTCAGCGTCCTGGTCCCCGTCCCAGGGCAATGGAGTCGGCGCGCCTGGTGCTGCCTGCGGCTCTGCAGACACGGCCGTCAACCCCGGCCTTCTCACTTGGCTTACAAGGTGCAGGGGATCTAGAGACATAACACTCGCTTCCAGTGGAAGGAAAGGGACTTGGCTCTGACTCTCACTTCACAAATGGGAAACTGAGGCTGAAGTAACGTGGCAAAGGGCCAGCTGCTGACTGGTGGCAGGGCAGGGGTTCCAGGCCAAGGCTTGTCCTGCTGGCTGACCGACAGCACGTAGCTCGGAGCAGAAATAAACTGTACTGGACTCTCTGGGCACTTCTCAAGGTGGCCAGGAAGTCCTGGGGTGAGGGGACTAAGAGCCACAGCAGAGGCTCCTCCTTGTGCCCCGACTCCTGTGACAGCCACTGGCTCTGCTTCGCCATAGCCTGCTTCCGTGGCTCAGAGGCCCTAGGGGCACGGAAGGGGCCTCGGTCGCAGTGGGACCCGTCTGGTGTCTGCTGAAGGAGGCACACAAACCCCTGGGGGTGCTGGAGGGAGAGGTTTCTGGCCCTGCGCCCCCTCAGAGAGAAGGGCCCAGGAACCTAAGCATTGAGGGAAAGAGCAGGAGCACAGGGGGGCCACCACCCCGCCAAGGGCCTCCCTCATGCTGGGGGATGGTCCGTCCCTCCCCCCTCTGAGCGGCTGTCCTGGGGGATGGGCCTGCCTCTTCCGAGACGGGGCCATGTCTGTCTGAGGAGACAGAGGAGCAAGTGGGAGCCTGGGCGGGGGGGTCCTTCTCGCCTCTCAGGGGGGCCCATCTAGGTCTCGTGTGCTGTCTCACTCCTGGGAGGCAACTGCACCTCTGAGTGTCACGCAGGCAAAATGCCCAACAGGAAGGCAATTCACTAGAAAAGGCACCGAATGAGGTGGCTGGAGCCACAGCCCAGCCTCAGCAGAGCGGGGCCAGGGGAGGGAGTCTCACACTGGGAAGAAGACACACGAATCTGGTCCTGCCATGTGATAATCACAGACCTTGCATAAAATTTAGTCTCAGCCTCCCCGCAGGAGAAAGGGGGTAAGCGTCTAGGCTGCCCTTCCCAGGGTAGCAGCAAGGCTCGGGCGAGGTCCTGGGTGTGAAGGCTTCTAGAAGTAACAGGCATTTGTGTAGGGTCACCTGTTGCCCCAAGCTCTTAGAGAACAGCAGGGGAGGGGCTGGGAATCTGAAAGCTAAGACTAGCCAGACGCCTGCAGGCAGTGATGGCCTCAGCCTGGGGCAGCGCGCGCATCCCTTTTCCAGAAGGTCAGCCAACCACAGACGGGAATGGAAGGAGGGTGGCAGGGTGCCCTGTGCAGCGCACCCCCCCAGCAACGCACGTGCTCACCCTTCCTGCCCCGTGGACTTTCAGGGACAGTTGTGGGGACTGTGCTGTTTTACCATGGTGAGCAGCCCTCCGCTGTACCAAGCCCTGTTTATAATCGCCTCTCCAGAACTCATTTCTGCTTAACACCTTCCCCCTGGCAAAGTGCAGTGGCTCTCTGGCCCATGGCAAAAAAGACGCGTGAGAGGCGAGAGGATGGCGGGGGTGAAGCTGTCCTTAGTGTTCCCCCCGGGAAAGCAGTACAGCCCCACAGTCGGGACCCAGAGACCTGTGGGAAAATGAAGCGGGCACAGTGGGAAAAGCCTGAGGAAGGCCGGCTGCCACACAGGCTCCTGTGGCAGCTCCAAGCTGAGGTGTGATGCCCCACGAATCACGTTGCTCAGCCCAGCTGTGCCCCCACAGAGCCCAGACAGTGGGTGGGTGGCTTCCATTACTTCTGTACAAAAATCAACCCAACAGGAAACACGAATACAAATCGGATACCAGGGAGAAAGTACTCTGTCCTATTAAAAGTTTGTTTCCTTCAGTGAAGGAAGCATCTCCCCTAGGACACAGGCAAATGTTACTTTTTTTCTCTGTGATATTGTTACTTTCCAAAATTAGGAAGGCCTCTCTTCAGTCTCTCAACACAGGCCCAGAACCTGGAGTTGCCCTGCAGGACGGGCCTGGGCTTGCCCTGAGGTCTGCACCCAGGCCCGCCACCAGCCGGTGGGGCCAGTGACCTGCTCACCCGTGAGTGCGCTGGCTGCGCGGTCCTGGGGCTCCTCTCAGCCCTGCGCCGCTTCCTTAGCTAAAACTTCAGTCACCTGCAGCCTCACCCAGGCACCCTGCCCCGCCCAGGAGGACAGTGGGGCACACTAGCCATTGGGTTCTCTGGCCCCGGCCACAGGGAGACCAACTGCCCTGCCTGTGCCCTGGTCTCACCAAGAACTCCAAGTCCAGCTCCGTCCCGCTGGCACGCCTCTTGGACCGGCCTCCTTACCTGCACCATTCCCAAGGCCACGCCGATCTGCTCCGCCGCGGTGGACTGCAGGGCCCGGGCTGCCATGACGAGCTCCCCGCCGAGGCCCAGGTGCTGCAGGTGGGTCTCCACGGCCGCCTGGGTCAACTTGGCAAGGCCTTTGGCCAACATGATGGCGTCCCCCAACAGGGCCGCCATCCTTCAGGGCTGGAAGAGAGCGGGCAAGTCAGGGCGGGGGGTGCCGCAGCTCACACAGGGTCACGCTCACATTGATCACCTCCACCCCAAACTCTGAGCCGAAGGTGAGTGTTTGGTTTCCACTGACCTACCTCCCTTCTGATCCAGGCTGACAGAGAAAAGGGGCAGAGTAAGGGCCAGGGCTCAAGGTCAGCTCTGGGCGGGCCCCTGCACAGCAGGGCACCAAAGGCAAGGCTCCGAGGGGCCAGGGCCGTGCTCCGGGCACTTTCTCACCTGGGTCTCACGGCCACCCATGGAACACCCCATGAAACAGAGGAAAAACCATGTGCCTAAAGCCTCCCAGCCACCAAGCGGCAGAGCCAGGGCTTGAATCAGACCCGGGACTGAGCCCAGCATTCTCCCCTCTGGACCGCACCACACACAGGCTGGGGAGGGGGCGCTTGTTCCCAACAGAGCTCCGTGCAGGCCGGGGCCCTGTCCCCAGCGCCTCGGGGGCTGCCCGTCCCTGCCCAGCTGCCCTCACTATGCCCAGGCACCACCAGACTGACGGACCGCCAGCGCCCCCGTCCCAGCTCCACTGTCCACCAAGCCGATGTTTTCAAGCTGCAGTCCAGCATTAAAAACAACACAATGTAAACAGAAAAGGAAGCGTCAGGGGCTCAATGGGTAGAGTGTCTTATGAAACTTGTTTCCGTGTGTGAGTACACATGAGCTTTTCTGCCTCTTTTTTCTCTACTGGGTCACAGTCTAAAATGTGTTTCTTAATGTAGGTCAGGGTCAAAGAGGCTGAAAGCCACTGTACACAGGGGTGCCTCCCAGGGTGGGGAGTGTGCTGTCAATCACACGTATTTCTTAAGGCCTGCTGGGGGGCTGTGTGCTGGGAGGCACTGGGGCTGAAGAAAAACCACAAAAGGAAAAGCAGCACAGGGCGCCCCACTGAAGAGGCCCCCTGCACAGGGCAGGGAAGAGCCGGGGCCTGCCCTGGGCCTCAGAGAGAAGAGAGAAGCCAGAGAGGAGTGGGGCGCGGGTGGCACTGCAGGCAGGGGACCTGCGTGAACAAACTCGCGGAGGCTGAGAAGGGCCGGGCACACCGGGCTGCAGGGCGTGGGCCCACAAGTGGGAGAGGGCGGCCAGAGACACCTCGTGGGTTCCCTCTTCCCATCACACTAAGTAACAGGAGAACATACTGGAGGGTCAGGCAAGAGCACTGACTGGGACCCCACCTGGAGCCCGGGGACCCCGAGGCGGGCAGAGAGGCCCACTCCCACCTGTCCTTTGCGGGGGCAGCCCCAGCCAGCCCAGGGGTCCCTGTAGGAACCAGCTCTGCTCCCGGGCAGGGCACAGAGCTGCTTCCCTTTAAATTGCAGTGTTAGCCAGAGAAACCCACGAACACACAGGGGCCTTGGAGAGCTGAGCTGACCCACCGTAACCTGGCCTTGGGAACACTTCACCTTCACCTTCATAAGAGAACAGGTACCAGGCACTGGGCTGGGTGCTTTCCATACTTCATCTCCTTTTAACCTTCATAAACAACCAAACGACATGGATGTTACTGCCCCATCTCAAAAGGAGAACACCAAAGCCAGAGAGCTTAGCTATCTGGTCGAGGTCATTCAGCTCTCAAATGGTGGCCTTGGGGCCTGGGCCTGGCCCTTGTCTGCTCTGCGCCCATCACTCCACGCCACCTCCGGGGCACCCTCGCAGGGAGAGGGCACTGCGCAGGCACAAATGGACCATCCACGCCTTGATTAAAACTAAGGAGGTTATTAGAAGGTGACCATCCCACTGAAAGAGGGGAGAGAGGTAGGAGGGCTGGCCCAGCCCATCACCTGGTGCCATTCCACACCCTAGGCTGCCGCTGGGGTTCCCGCACTTGGTGGCTATAAACAAGGGTGAGCCCCACACACATTCCCCGGTGTCGAGGCCTGGGAAGAGATCACATAATCAGAGATCAGCTGCAGCTGGCACCAGGTCGCAGCAGCTGCCCAGCCCCGGGCCGCACCCCAGGCACACACGGGAACGTCATCATCATGTCCTGGGAGAAGCTCCAACCGAGGCCCATGGACCCAACGAGGGAGGAGGTGTCTGAAAGAACACTGGGGACGTGCCATAGTGGAGCCGGGGCCCCGGGCACAGCTGTTCACAAGGACCCTTGTTCACAGCCCCAGTACCACACACCACACCCCACTGCCCAGGGGTCCCCCGGATAGGCCTTCCCTTCCTCGCCTCTGAATCCAACCCAGATGAGCAAGGCAGGGGTCTCCCACTGGCCACAAACCTGGATAATTCCAGCACCTTCCCTTGTCTAACTGGTGTCAAATATTCCCTAAAACTTCCTAAGGCCTATTAATCCAGACTTTGTTTTCAGGCTTAAAACTAGTTTTTCCTGAATTTCTCATCCCAGTTATCAAAACGACACATGAAAATTCCACTGGCGCAAAGCTGCTAAGTGGGGGGTTTTGGTCCGTTTCTCCTGCTGTCTCTATGCCAATGGCAGTTCCACGTGAAAGGTCCGTCCTCGGGCCTACACGCAGCAGGCCAGGGCTGGGACCCACCAGGGTGCAGTCCTACCTCTCCTGGGTTCTAAGCGTGTTAGAACTAGCACAGCTCCACGACAGGCCGGAAGTGTACCTCCTTTACACTGACACTTGAAAACAAATTGTCATTAGAGGCAAAAATGTTAAACAAATCAACCAGAATTTTTTTACAGTCCTGCATCTGGGAAGTATGAGTAATAATGGTTTCTGTCAGTGTCTTCCTAACTGTATTTTCCTAACTTTTTAGTTCACACATCCTTCTTTCAAAATGGCAAATAAGTCATCTAAAAAAAGTACACATTAAAAAGTAATGTCATGCCTTCCTTCCTGCCTAAACGGCTATGTCCTCACACGCAGTGCACTCCCAGTGGGCGAGAGTCCCACCCTAGACAGCCGGCAGCACTGGGAAGCAAGATCCACACAGGTGGAAATAACATCACAGAAGTCTACCTTCCAACTTAACTGTGATGCAAACCCTGCTTTTGTCAAATCAACAGATGTTGCTAATACACAGCCTGTCATTTATGAGCAGATTCACATGTGAACGCGTATTTCAAAAGCACAGCCTGTGCCATGCCGCATTTGACAAAAGTATTTACCTAATGTGCCGGGGCCATACCCATACCTCCCACAGGCTGCTCTGCCAGTACAAAGTGCATTGTGGAGACTCCAATCAACAACAGAACAACAGGTCTCCCCCACCCCACCCCCAAAGGAGCATATACCGGCACAAAAACATGGGCCGGGAAGAGGAACAACTGCCAGAAGGAAATATCTTTTCAGAATGTTTCTCACCTTCCAGTTTCATAAATCCTACTTCCCGTGCCAAAATCCCAGCGTGACTCAGAATTCGGCTCTCCGGAATCCGGGTGCGGACCCTATCCAGGAGTGCGCAAGAGCCAGGCACCCGGCTGCGCCAGGAGGCCTTTTCTCCATGACCTTCAATAAAACTGAAAGCTCCCCGAACGCATTTAATACACAAAGTAAAAGTCTTATCCTCCCCACGATTCATCTGTACCCTCCTCTCCCCCCGCTTCATCCTGCTGGTCCTAAGTGGGTTTTTAGGGCCTGGCCTGGGGGGTTCAGGCTCGGCCTGCTTGGTGGCACGTGTCCCAGAGACCTTGGCACCCACCTGCTCTTCCAGAGGAGGGGAACCCGAAGTGCAGGGTGAGCACAAACGGTGGCCAAAGAGGACAAGCACCCACGTTGGGGAGTGCCCACAAGGCATCATGCCTCCCGGCTCTCTGGGCCAGTCTGTGCAGGCCCAGGAGGAACCTGCCCGGGCCCTCGGGTGCCCACAGCTGCGGCAGCACGCAGCACGTCTACGATGCGCACAGACACCAGGGAGGCGGCCAGAGGCCAACTGAGGCTCTCACGCAGGGCCAGGAGGTGGATGACCAGGGGAAAAGAGCATCCTAGGGGCCTGGACACAGGGTCCCAGCTCCGCCACCACTGCTGACACTAGGCGTGCGTCTCGCCTCTTCATCCCTTTCAGCAAGAGCACTTTCAGTGGCTCGCCAGGCTGTTTCTTGTCCTAACATGCTACGGTGCCATAAAGGAAGTAAATAAACAGGTCATCTAGAGAGAGAACAAACTGGAATACATGCAGCTCACCACTCCCCAGGGACAGAGACTGGGAAAGACACACAAGCAGCGTTCCCTGACAGGGGAGTCCCCAAGCTCTGAGAGGCGGTTTTCCTGTTGAACCTTCACTCTCTGACCCTCTCATTCATGCTGGAGGAGAGACCCACAAAGTGCTGCCTACTTGGCCAGATACAATAATGTACAGCAGCAAGAGAATGAGTTGTGTTCTTTTCACAAAATAAATAGAACAGGGCAATTCTGAAAGGCATAAAGCAAAGGCAGGCTTCATACACTTTTCCACTCAGGACCCACGTTGGGGAAACTTAAAATCTGCCTGTGTAACTGCCTTTCTCCTGCTCCAGGCCGTTGGGCAGAGAAGGGCCACCCCAGCTGTCCACACTCCACCTCGAGCACCGAGGACTGTGCCTGACCCGAGCGGGCAGGCAACAGACACTTCTCCAACGAAAGGAGCTCGGCCGGCCTCTCCGCGGTCCCAAGAGAGCCTGCTGTTCCCAGGACTGGCTCCGCCTGCCTGCAGCTTCCAATCTGCACACAGAATCAAAGGCCACCTGGGAGCCAGGTCGGAGGCAGGCTTCTCAGGCGTTAGTAGGCTTGACAAGCACCCGGGGGACTTGTTAAAGCACAGGTTCTGGGCCCCACCCCCAGCTCCTGGTCCTGGAGGTCTGGTACGCGCAGAAACCTGCATTGCTAACAACTTCCCAGGTGCTGCTGTCGCCTATGGTCCTGGGAATGTACCTAGAGGACCCTGTTCTGGAGGGAGAGGGGAAAGGGAACACAGGGCCCCACACCCGAGGCCAGGCGGGGCAGCTAAACAGAGGTCCTTTCCTGGACGTTTCCTCTTGCTACCCACTCCCCAGAGGTCTGGCT